GGAGTCCACGCGGTAATCAAAACAAGGCTTTGTAGTTAGCACTGAATTCCTGCTGTCTCAATTACGTTTGTGGAGCTAACCCGCGCCGCACACTGCCGCGGTGCTGCCACCGAGCAGTTTCCTTGGCAACATTTGCTTTTAAATAGCAGCTCTTATTCCCCTTGCCCCAGTCCATGGCTGTGAGACAAGGCCTGACTTTGAATCCCAACTGCAAAGACACCATGAGTAGCAGCCTTCTAATACCAAAAGGGGCCTGCAGGAAACTTGGAGAGGGCCTTGGGACAAGGGCCTGTAGGGACAGGCCAAGGGGAATGGCTTGAACCTGCCCGAGGGGAGACTGAGCTGAGCTCTTAGGCAGAAGCTCTTCCCTGTGAGGGTGCTGAGGCGCTGGCAGGGTGCTCAGAGAAGCTGTGGCTGCCCCATCCCTGGCAGTGCTCAAGGCCAGGTTGGACACAGGGGCTTGGAGCAAGCTGCTCCAGTGGAAGGGGTCCCTGCCCATGGCAGGGGTTGGAGCTGGAGGAGCTTTGAGGTCCCTTTAACCCAAACCAGGCTGGGATTCTATGAGTACAAATTAGCATTCCACAAAAGGAACACCATAGATGCCAGTTTGCAATGTAAGGTCCTGGTCCCACACAGTCTGCAGTGGCACAGGAGCTAAAGAAAATTGAGAAGCTACTAATTATCATGAAGTTGTGCATCCCACAGTTCTTCCCCTAGGTTTTACCTGCCACCTGGACAATACTGTGTTACCCTTCATCTTGTTTTCACTGTCTAGGGAGAAAGAGAGAAATCTATGGCTTATACCCACCCCAGCACGAGCTGCTCCAGCCCAAGTCACACAGCCAGTGCTCTGCAGTACAACACATCCCATCTGACTGTCTCCAAAGCACCAGCCAACCCCTCTGTCCCCAGGGAGCCCATCAAATCTTTAGTTTACCACTCCAGTGCCTGGTCTGATAGCAAGAAACCCACTGACATACTCACTGCCCCTCAGCAGCAGAAACACAAAAGTGAGGCTCATTATTAGGAATAGTCAAAGATCTTCCAGCAAAACAGAAGCTCCCCTTCCTGCCAAATGTGGAAACAATGGGACTGAAGATCCATCATAGCTCTCAAAGAAGCAGGAGGCTTTTTTGCCTGCACTCCAAGCACAGGCAGCAAGGCTTGAGCAGCAGCAAGGGTTAGATGCCAACAAGCTGCTGCAACTAACATTTCTGCCTCAACCCCGCTCAGCTTCAGCCTGATGGGTCCCACTGTCCTTTCTCTAGGAAAATTTCTTACTTCAGTCCTAAAGCCATTTCTATTCCACACAAGAATTCCTCTTCCCTTTTACTGCTGGAAACTGAAATTCAAAATGGCAATAAATCACCAAGTAGCACAAGTCTTGCCTGCATAGAGTCACCTGCAGCTAAAGGCAGCCCAAGCACTAAGTCCAGTCAACTGAAATAACCAGCTCAGCCAGCCCACACCACCCAGCACGCCCACGATCCAGCAGCCCCCTGGATAGCAAGGATAACAAACAGAAACAGTAGTCCAGGAAAGTCAGGAGCTTCACATGAACATGGCCTTGCCAAAGACAACCCAAGGGCTTGATGAGTATTATTACAACCGAGGGCCCATGCTGTGCTCTCCATTCTCTGCACAAGCTTGCAGATGTTCCCAGCGCCAGCCTCCAGCTTCGCTGAGAGCAGGGGGCCTTTCACAACCTTCCACCCTTCAACTCTCGGCATATGCATCCCCTCAGGGTGCTTGTCAGTGAGGGAATTGATTCAGTGAAGGACTGCAGTCATTAACATTCAGCCCTGCTTCCCAGCAAAGTGGCTTCAGGAACCACAGAGGACATACCGCATCTAGGACCAGATTCCCTCCCTCTGTTGACTTTGTGCAGCCCTAGAGGAGTCACGTTACTACTCAGTGCTTTTGTTTTCCCTTGCTGGACAAAGCCAAAGTGATTCCTTACTTGGTGCTTTTCCCTCCTTGAGCTCGCCTCATCCATCCACAGAATTACATCAAGGATTTTCCTCTGGCATTGGCTCAGGGTGTCCCTCACTTGTCTCCATCTACAGAGTTAAGCCCTGTAAGAAAGGACACAGACATAGCCCTCAAACTCTTGTCTGCTGCAGCTGTTCCAGCAGCCTCTAAACCTCACCCAGATGTTTCACCAAGAGGCAAGCTCCTTGCCAGTCACACCACGACCCTCCCAAAGTGCTGTTACCTGGTACCAACCACAGCCCCCAAACGAGGGTCTACCCAGTGCTCCACAAAGCCCAGGAAAAGGAGCTCCTGTCCCTGGGTGGTCTGATGTTAAATATTTTTGCAAGGTAATGATGTCTGCATAGCCCTTGGATGGCCTAAGGCATAAGCTGTTCCAGACACACTTGTGAAAAGCATTACCTGTTGTGTCCCTCTGAGTAGGTTTACATCAGGTATGAGGAAGAAATTCTTCACTTCATATTCATCCTAGTTGGAAAAATCTGATACATGTTAGGAACATGACACTGATTCCCAAGTCACACTTCCTTGATGGCAGCAAAGCAGAGCTGATTGGGCTGTTATCTATGAAGCCCAGTAAATAGCACCTTGTTGTTACTTAAATGAATTACACGGATGGAGCCATTGGCATTCCAATGCCAAGCAAGGGTAATTCCCTGGGATCCAAGGCTCCAGGAACTTGCTTGCCACCCCAGGCCTGTGCTGTGGCTCAATAGTAGGTTCTGCAACAGACCCTTGAAAGCTCTTGGGAAAGCTCAGAGCTGCTGTTTGGGTTGGGGGCTGTTTTGGTTCTTTGAACGTAAGTTTACATGTTTGAAAGGAAGGGAACTGTTCCTGGCTTCAGGGTTGTACCCTCTCTCCAAGGCAGAGCTGCCTTTCCCACCAGCAAACCCAAGCGTAGAACCCAGTGGCCACCAGTAACACAAGGGGCATGAACAAACTTACCAAGGGCCTTTACAAAGCAGATTAAAGAGCATTTAATGTTAATTAGCTGCAATAAATTCATCAGGAGCCAGAGGGAAGACATTTTACTGCAAGAACTTTATTGCACTATGCTCAAGTGCTGAACCAAGTCTTGTGCTACTGGACATTGGTCACAGTTACACCCCCCTTTGTGTCTACACTCCATAACAGTCTGCACTTTCCACTATTTTTTCTCAATTAAGGCTGCAGAATCATAGTATAGGATACTTAGTATGGTAAAAATCAAGAGTAAAACTAGGGGGAAGAATGCAGTTATACATACAGCATGTAAAAACTGATTTTATTGTTTTTCAGAAGAGCTTAGGGTTTGGTTTTTAATCCATCAACACCTTCCCCTCCAACCTTCCACCATCTGCCAACCCAGCTTTAACTACCGGTATTTCATTTTACTAGAAACATCCATTTTACTTTGCAGAAACAGTTAGAACATTAGGTTTCTAGTTTGCAAGGGGAGGGTAAAGCCCCTTTCAGCATCATCTACCTTTCATGTGGACTCAAACACAACCAGATATGTTATTTCCCTAATGAAGGCATCAACATCACAAACACTTCTGTGTCTTCTTTATCTATTAATCAGAAACGTTACACATCTTAAAGGGAGGAAGGAACTCAGTACACCACCACAGCTTGAGTCAGGCTCAAACCAAGCTCTGTGGAGCTTGCTGTTTTCTAGCCATGGACCTTAAACAGGTTTGTCAGCAGCTCTGGGAGGGGAGGGGCTTCACAAGTGCCATTATTTTTAGCTTAAATTTATAAATCCAGGAATAGAATTCTAAAGGGCCATTACCTGTGTTCTGAAAACATGTGCCCAGTTAACCTGCAGGCTAAAAGCAGAGATCTGGAATAGGAAGAAATCCTGTGAAGCAGTTCACATCACCCGAAGCTGAAGCACAGGTAGAGACAGATACCAATCTACTACCACAGATCCAGACCAACAAGAACCTTTGGTGCTTCACAGCATATCACAGAAGAGTAGGACACTAAACCTGTATTCAGAGCCCTCAATGGCTCAATATTACAGATATAATGTCAAGTTCAAAGCATATGAGGTCACTTCTGGGGCAGGGCACAAAGTTAACGTGTTTGGTAGAAGTAGCCTGGTTGAAACTACTTATTAGAGGCTGTAACATGACTTGTCTTAATTCACTGACAACACCAATGGCATACAAAGAGAACATGGTACCATCACACTCCTAAAATGAGTGCGTTTCTAGCCTGCCAATGGTGAACGAGAGGCAAGTTGTTGTATAACTAGAGATTTCCCTCCAAAAGAGCCTAATAAAAAAACAAGGCAATCAGTGGCTAAATGGAGCTGTACATGAGGGCTAGTCTGGGAAAAGACCCATACAAGGCATTTATTCACAGACCACCTTTCTATGTGCATCCCCCACCTTTACCTCAGATGTGATATAAATGAGACCCTCCCCAAAATCCTCATTTACTGTGTTCAGCAAGGCAGAGAATCTGGACAGCAGCGAAAAGCCTTTTCTTCTTTCTTATGACAGCTTAATTCATTTTAAGTCCTTGTCTGAATCATCCCTTGGACATCAGTCTTCTGCCAGGATAGATTTTCTAACAACAGAAAGACAATTAACATCTCAGCCAAATGCTTTGGAAAAGTAAGACAGAGACACACACATGCTACACACACTCAGTTAAAGTACAACCTTGTACCCATCAGAAAAGGCCTTTAGCAGAGTCACCAGAAGTATCAGGCAGAGAATCTTCTGTTCAAGCCCACAAGAAAGCTTCTCACACCTGCAGAGCCTGAACACCATGTACGCATACAACAGACAACACCCAGTCTCTAGAATTTGCCCAGGCTGGGCTTAAGGCTGCAAGACTGCTCCCATCCAGCACCAAATGCTCCTCCTGTGCCTCAACCAGGGCCCAGCAAGGCAAAAAGCAAGGCAACTCCATTTCAACGAGTCCTTTTAAATAGGAATTAATTTATCAGGCCCTAATCTTGGGGAACTTTCCTCCAATCAAGAAAACAGTTTCTGCACAAGCCAATGCTCTGCTGGTTTTCCTTAGACATAAAATTTACTTTATTTCTTTTCTTAAAAAGTTAAAAATACACAAGATTCAGAAACTGATTTTCTCCCTGCAGATGTTCCAACTGCAGCTCAAGGAGAAAACAATCCTTCACTGAAATGTTGCTCTTAGGTTTGTTTTAATTTTTATTTTTTTTTCAATCATCACCACCATTAGGACAGAGGCTGAGGTCACTGACTGACTCCCCCCAATCTGATGCTGTAGTTTGATTCCAGATTCACATTTCCAGGTGCCAAGAGTCCAGAAAAGAGCCATGCTAGCTTCTGCCTTCGTTTGGGATTATGCTTTATTGAACACAGCAGTGACCGTTGGCATCTTTGAAGCGTAATCGCATCTTAGGCCGGTATTTTTCAAGGTAAAGCAGCTGTTTGGAATTGAAAGCTCCCCTCCTTTTCCTAAAACAAAGAGAATGAAGGCTAATATCAGTGGAAAAAAGTACCGCTTCAATCGCCACACCCCCCAAGGCAGATCAGTCCTCTGTTCAAAGCCTTCCTGTAGCTACAAAACCAGCATTTCTGTCTCAGTTCTGAATTCACTGACTCTCTGAGGAGGGATAAACCAGGCCAGCTCACTGCCTACATGTCAAAATATTAAAATCCAGGGAACAAATTTCAGTCTGTTTTCTTGGATTGGAGAGCTTATTTCCATCACCAGCAGCAGCAGCTGAACAACATCAAGGTTACTCTTTTCTTGCAGGTATGTGGGCTACTTGTATCAGCTAAGCAAGGCCATGACATTCAGATACAAACATGTAAGAGGTTCTCAGGAAATTGCTTCCTGGGATAAAGGTATCATCCCCAAGATGAGAAAAACGGAATTTAAGGAAGTTAAAATTCAGGAAAATCTCTCAACAGCAATACAGTTCACAGAGGGAACTGAGGACCCTGGGAGTCTGTATAAGGATGAACTGCTCTTTTGGCAAAGCTCATTCAACATAAATCGCACCTGCTGGGCTTCATTTCAAGATGTGATGTTATCACTAAACCAGCAGAGCTCTGCAGTCTCATCCTTCATCACATTTGTCAATTTTCCAGACATTTCCTAGGTGGGTAACACTCCCCACAGGACACATAGGAGCGCTGGTGCTCATGTGCTGGCCCACCCACACTACCATTTGTATCAGTTTCATTAGGAGCAACTAGCCCATGATCGGGTCATCTACAATTTTTACAGCCCCAGCCTGGACATTTTTTCCTCCCAAGTTCAAAATCTTCGAGTCTCAAGTCAATGGCTTAATACATAAGCCCAGGTTTAATGTGTATATATATATATATATATATGTATAGTAACAATAAAAGAGAGGGAGAGAGAGAGAGAGGGCACAAGCCTCAATATTTACGTCAAAGTCATGCTGATCATGTCAGAATATAAGCACTAGAAATCAAATCAGAAATCTAATGAATTCTGCTGCATACTGTTCAAATACAACATAAATGAGAGATTTCTTGAGCAAAGGGAAGTTTAACTTACTGCCTTATAAACTGAACTGCATCTTCGTACTTCATTCCGCATTCAATGAGAGCAAGTGCAACCAGTACAGGAGCCCTAAAGGAGAAGAATCGGTATTTTAGAAAGATCTAGAGAAACCATACATTGAAACCCTCAAAATACATCAAGTTAATCTGTAAAGAGCTTCAGTACTTTCTCTGTAAGCATTACCTATAGAACAACATTTGCCTGCTGAGTACCTAAGTAGACAGCTCCATTTCCTCCTAGCTCACAGAATAAACAGAACATTCAGAGGTTACATTTGGGAATATGAATTTAGCATTGAGCTCTCCTGAATCAGTCTGCTTAAATTATTATTTCATCTTGAAAGGAAGTTCTCTGCAAAGAAGGAAGTTGAGTGGCAAGGAGAGAAACATCAGTCCTCATGTGAGCAAGAAATACAAGCCTAACTCCTCCTGAAACCGAAGTGAAGCCACTTCATAGAGTAAGAAAGTCACTGAATTGGTTTTTCTAAATGCCTTTTTTTTTATTATTATTCTCACATCCTTACTATGTGTATCAGTTGAAAAGGAGGAAATTAAAAATTGTACAGCCTCAGAAATTGTACCACACGTGTCAAGAAGCCCAAGAGATTTACAGCAAAAAGACACCTTCAAATGAATAGCACCTTCAACTGCTTGTGTCACTCCTGACAGGAGTGTTCTCAACAATCTCACCATGTTTTTCCTTCCGTCCTTGATAAGAGTTATGAAACCACTCAAGATTAAGTTGCAGTAAGTCTCTCTTGCTTTAATGGCACAAACTTGCTGCTGCTTTAAAGTGTTACTTGTGAGAAAACGGAGGAATTGGCACTTACTTAACACCCTCCTTGACCTTCCAGACAAAGGAACTAATTTTTAAGTCCAGTATAAAAAGAAGCCAGCAGAACACCAACCTTCCCAACCCTGCAACACAGTGAACAGCAATACAGCAGCCAGGCTCCTCACGGAATTTGGATTTCAACAGGTTGAGCCAGTCATCAACTATTTGATTGGGGGGTGGTGCTCCATCATCAAATGGCCAGTCCTTTGAAGGAAAGAAAAAGGCATTAGTGACATGGATTTCAAACCATAGTCAACAGCAAGGTAACCGGAACTGGGAGAAAGAAAATACTGCATCAGCAAGAAGTGCGTGCTACAAACAGATCTATTTTTCTGGCTGCACGAAAGCTGGAAAGTCAATATAATGCAACACTAAATGTTTAACAACCATTAAACTGCACTTTCCAATAACATTTCAATAAAACTCTACTAACTCCTGTGTGGTATAGAATTTTTAGAAAAATGGCTGCCTTGGAAATCCATTTTATTAAAAATAATAAAAATTAAGACATTTCAAATAAACATCTGAGAAATGAGAACTCTGCAGACTTTTGCCTGTGATTCTGTCAATCTTTTAAGGTGCTATTTGTACTTCAGACTGTACAAAGAAGCTACTTCCTAAAAATTCAAGGGGATCAGCAGAGGAGAAGGTTATTCATAACAACTCAAATGGATCACCTTGTCCAGCTGCCATGAATCCAGTCAGCAAGACAGCTCAAGTCCAAATCCCCCAGCCCATTCACAAGCAAGAATAGTGCTCAGACATCAGCCAAATCACCAAGCAAACAGCATTTACAGTTAATTTTCTGCCTACTAAAGGGGCAGCCACCATTTCACTACTGAGATCACATCTGACAGCATCACCGTGCCTGTCAATCAAAACTGCATGTCAGAAGTTTCCCATTTCCATGAAGTCACAAGCAGTCTCCTGGAACTTGCACTAAGTGAAGTACATGTCCTACATTTCAGGATCATCATGTGCTTTATAATCTTCTCAAGACAACAGGGAGTGCTGCAGAAAGAGCACTACCAGACACAGGGGGGGACATAATACTTAGTAGTTATTTAGCACTTTTCATTAGACCGCAATGCCTTTTACAAGAGAGACTCTTAGCCAGAGCTTTGTATTATTCAGCCACCTCTCCAAGTGGCAGGGAAATGGCTAGAAACAGGTCTTTCATGTAGTGTCTTGAGAACAGCTTAATATGAAGTAATATTCTGTGAAGCCTTAAAGAAGCATGCAGAAACTGAGCAAGTACAGCTAAAGGTAAAAAAACCCACCAGGCTTTCCCTTTTTTTACTGCTACCCTGATAATTCCTGAACAGCAAATACAACTTTGGACAACCCTCGGCCTGAGAACCCAAGCACATGTGCTGGCACTTACAAAAGCTGAAAGGTGGAAATTGTGTCTTGGAACTACCAAATCAAAAAGCTTTTAGTTCCTGAAATGACACTGTATGTGATGAATTCAGAAAGACACACAAAGTCTGAGGGGCACAGAGAACTCCTTTTCTAAGGCAAATGGGAAATTAAAAGTATCTGGGACAACAAGGCTATAGAAACAAGATCATAAAGTGAAACTTGCTCTTTCTAATTAAAGGCTTTCACCAGATTTTCCACTCCATCACACATGGGTAGCTCTATTATTTTAGACCTAGTATTATGCACTGTCCCAGGAAGAGAAGTATGGGCTGCCAAGAGAAGACGCATTGCCCACTGCAAGGTGCTTTCTTCTGAAACTGCCTTCCAAAGAACAGGATTTGCATGTCAGTTCTGCTTCCTGGTTTTCCATTAAACTAAACCCTTTCCCTCAAACTAAACACAGGAGCTCATTACACTGCTTGAGCTTATATATTAAACATCACATCCACATAGCTCTTGTGCTGGCCTCAGTTAATCACAACCTCATGCAAGCATCACCTTCCCAGGAACGGTACAGCCCTGACACTGAACAGGCACTGACAAAACCCTGCTCAGGACAAGGAACAAGAACACTTTTGAGACTGGAGGAGTGAATGCAGCAAAGTTTTGCGAGTCTTTCCTGCTGAGGAGTTCTGCCAGCATCACCTCTGAGCTTCTGTCAGACAGGATAAAACCCAACTGCTAAGCTCCCCAACCAAACCAGTCATTTAATAACCAGGATGATGCACCGAGATTGCATAAACAGAATACACAACTCTTCTGTGCCACTGTGCAGGATCTGGGAAGGATGATAGGAAAGAAGGGGTTATTCTTATCTATCCTTCAGCTGGAGCAGCGTCGCTTAGCAGAACAGCTCTGGGTTTGTCAGTTGGCAACAACTGCAGGATTGGCAATGCAGAACTGAGACAACCAAGAAGCAGTAACAGGACTTCAAGGTGACAAGAATCCCATGTTCAAAACCCACATGAAGGACTGAGAGAAGAACAATGGTATCTGTCTTTGATCCTGAAGATGAACAAACCCCCTAGAGCCTCCTTGGTTACCAGCCAGTGCAAAACTATTTCCAGAAAACCACCAGTTTTTGTGATGTAACATTTCTGTGTTACAAGACCTGATGCATGAACCCAAGAACTGCAGAAACCCACAGAAACGAAATCCATTCCCACCTCCTGGATTTAATCTCTGTTGATAAACACATGCATGTAATAGTACTACTTCAAACACAGAACATCCAATTCTCTACTTTCTCACTATGCCATCTGCCAAAGCAGCTCTGGAGCTGCCAGTTCTACCCACCCTGCCAGTGCACACTCCTCTCACAGCCTGAGAGCAGGCTCTGCTCAAGTGCTCTCATTTTGAGAGGTTTCACTATGCTTTTGACCTCAACAGTTTTAAAATAGACACTAATCTGTCAGGCTGGTTTTAATCTTAATGTTATTTTTGCAAGCAAATATTAGCTTTAAATAGTGACGTGTTATTTTCTAAGCCAGCTGGTAATTCAGTATGAGTTCTGAACAGCAACAGGACTCTGATTTGAAAAAGGAAGTGCTCCTAGGAAAGCAAAGCTGGTCATTCTGGTAACTAGTTAAAGCTTATCTGAAATAGAAAATACTACTGCAATACAGTGAATTACTAAGACAACCCCATGACTGGGATCATCAGGATCAGGGATAACATTAGCAGCAAACCTTCCCTGTTACCTTCTGCTTTCTGTTATCCTTAACAGATGCCTGGCAGATTTATGCTCTCTCCTGTTTGTCCTTCTGCAGCAATGGAACACTAAGATCTCGTATGCACCCAGTGCAAAGAGGCTTGTTAGCTGAGACAAACCTGTGGACACAAGACTCTCACGTGTTACTTAAAGTGAAAGGATCTCTTAGCACAGCTACAGAAAAAAACATTTCCAGTTTTTACAAAAGCTTCCTCAAAAACCTGCTTTCAGTTCAAACCAAGCCAACACCAAGTTCCTAAAGTTTCCTGAGAACCAAAATCCCCAAACTATTTCAGAAGCAGAGGCTGCAGAAGACAGTGCACTTCCAGCTCCTGCAGCTGACCCGGGGGCATGGACTGCAGGAGGTCGATTTGGCTCCCAGCTGCAGACGCCAAGGTCTCACAGGGCAGAGCTGGACACCTGCAAAACTGTCCCAAGTCTTCCAGAAAGAACCCAGCTCTTGATCTAGCACAGGAACACAAACTCTTAAACCCCACCTTAAATCAGGGCTCTGAGCCCCTTGGCACCAGAAGTTTAATCCTTCCAGTCTCTGGCAAGCACAGGAATATCACAGCTGGAAGCTTCACAGCAGCATTATGAGAACACTTGCATGTCCCAGTCCAAGACAGCTCCAGAGAGAACAAAAAAAGCCCTGGGAGCATGGCTAACCCTATAATGACTGATTTTTGCAACAACATTGAGGCACACGTGGCTGCCTAGAACTGGAGTAAATGCTTACCAGGGCCAGAAGCCAAGAAACCCAATCGACCTGTACAGGAGTGTTCGCAGACATGTGAGGATACAAGTTTTTCTCCTAATGGAAAACTGCAGTTTTTCTCCGCCTGAGCCATAAAAATCAAGGGGTAATGGAAGGCTGACTACCTGCACCAAGAAGGTAAGATGCATTTTCTGGCCTCAGAACAGAGTATTATTCACTCCAGTAAAATAAACTGATTATATCTGACACACTGTGATGATTCAGAAGTACTGCCTGGAAAAATACCGCCTGCTAGCTTCGTGTGAGCACACACCTACTAAAACAACCTTCCCATAACCACCGAGCAACACCAGACCATACAGTCAGACAGTCACTGCATAATGGTAGCTGTGAGCAGCAGTTATGGAATTCCACCTGCTGAAGAGGGGAGCCACCAGCAGCCAGGCTCCATTTGGAGATGAGCTGTGATGAGGCTGTCGACCAATATCCCGCCATAGTCAGTATCAACATGTCAGAAAGTCTCAAAAGGCGGCACTTTCTGAAGGATGGACTTTTATCTGCACCCTGAGAAGGTCCAACAGTAAAGCCAGGAAGTGCTGAAAAGCACTAAGCTGTATGAACCACAAGGCTGAACACAGGGTTAGTAACAAACTAGTCACTAAAAGGCAATTGAAGTACCTCAACAAACCCAGATATCCAGGAATAGGCATTTTTCCTCCAACTAAAGAGCTCTGGCAATAGTAATAAACCAGCAAGTACCTCTTACAAAAGCACAGTGAGCTTCTCAAAACCAGCGTTAGCTGATGATGGAGATCACATTGCTTTTGGCCAGTCTGAAACAGTCACAACTGCTTGCCCAAAGCCTGGGGCATCCCCGCCACTTCTGCCTATCGTGGGTTTCATTTATAGACAGTTTCAAAGGCAACTCACTAGAACCTGGATTCCTTCTTTTTCGATGGGAGCTTGATCGTAAGTGGCTTCACAAACTCGCACCAGGGTTCTCACTCCATACTTCTTGAGCTCCTTTAGGGAAAAGGAACACAGGTGAGCACATGACACAGGGACCAACACAAGCACTTTCCCAGGAGCTGCAGAACTAAACAGTCAGTGGTGCCACCACTACCATACAGCTCCAAGGTGACTACACAGGGAAGGAGCAAATGCCAGCACAAGAAGGGAGGCTATGGCCTATAAGAGGACAAGGGCTACAAATAACAGGAATAAACATAAAACACTCTGAATCCTCCTTATCCAGGGAAATGCCAAGGTGGGAAAAAAAATGCATATATAAGAGCCATATTAAAATAACCACTTATATTCTCCAAGCAGCTGCTTCTTCTCTTTAAATAGAAGCCTGGAACTGTTTGCTTCGGACAGTGTTGACATTTTAAGGCAGGGAGGAACAGAACACACACACCATCATACTCTAGCCTCCTTGTAATGCACTATAAGTAGCACATTGTGCTAGATAAATAATCAGAAGATCAAACAAAAGCTGTTCCAGTTCACTTTGAAGGTTCATACAGCAAGCAGAATTTCCTCTCATGCTTGGAATGAATCACTGTAACTTCTAACAATTAGCAATAATACCTATTCCAGTCAGGACTCCTGAAAAAGGAAGACAATCCATGTTAATGGGGAAAATATACATAAAGACCAAAAGAATGTGGCTTTCAAAATTAACCAATAATATCTGAGCAGGTTCCTGGTGAATGGCCACTGCTGAATGATGGAAGTCAACAGCCACAGTCAGCCATCAGTATCAGATGACAGGATCTCTCTGGAAGAAATAGACCTGCACATGCAACATGAAATCCTCTAGATATGAGGCCACAAAGAAACTGTAGGTTTGCAGTGACCCAGGACATAGAAATACACCATCTTACCATTCCTCTGATGATACCATCATCAGCTGCTTTTTCAGAAAGCTGAATATTAGGTTTTACTGTATTTAAGTTCTGACTGCGTCAGTGACAGTGCGACCCACTGCCCATGTAACTGATTTTTCCCAGCACTCAGGCCCAGCAGATGTCATGTCTCACAGATACAGTCTAGCACCCAAAATCTTGGGCTGTTCTGGATCAAGGCAGTTTGGTAACACAGTCTGTGAACTACAGCATGGGTTTAAGTATCGTGCTTACCCCTAGTCTAAGGGTGAAGGCAGGTCAGAAACCAATTACAATTCTGTCGACTACTTTAAAAGCCAAAAGGTGAGCCACAGATTGATATATTGGAAGCACTGCATTATTTAATGAAAGATAACATTTAGAACCACAGAACATGCAGACCTTCAGAAACCAGGCCAAGAACATGGCGAGGTAAGTCTATTCTAAAATGGAAGTTCATTCAGCCTCTTGTAATTAAAGAAATGCAGGACTTAGGAAAAAGCAATCGGTGGATTCTCTTCTCATCCTGTCAGGAGAATGTGACCAATATATTAAAGATAAAAACACCTTAAGTTTCAGGTAACACATAATATACAGCCAAAGTATGGAGCCACAGGTGTGAAGACCGACTGTCCAGTGCTTCTACAGAAGTATGAGCATGCCAGGAAGCTTTATCTGGTTGCCTTACCTCTGTGAACCTGTTGAGGGTTGTATTGGTTGGGTTGTGAGTGATCAGGAAACGCATGTTCTCATAAGTGATTTCCACGGGGGCTGGACGGTTCATAATGGCAACTGAAGTGTGCAAGGGGCCAAAAGATTGAGGAAAATAATTAAAAAAAAAATTAAAAAAAATCAATAACCTTGGAAAGGTTTCACAGCAGAAAACATTAAAGAGACCACTAAAATGCCTTGGACAGATCAGAGCTTGCTTTGACGTGTTTGTTCCGTAAAGAATTTGCTGGTAGAAAAGCTGGTTTGCTTCAGAATCCACTTGAATTCAACTTCGGCCTCAACTGCTGCAGGTGGTACCCTTCAGACTCCAAAACTCTGACTACATGCAAGACTAGGCAGCCTGTTCTACATTTAGGCACTGGTGAGGCAAAAAAGTAAGGGCAGATTTTCTCTCCACTTTGTTTTCTTGATGCTTCGTTTTGCTAGAGTCAGTAAAAGGAAAATGCTTCCAATGTGCAGAAGATATCCCATATATCTGAGTGTCTACTGTGTCCGGAGTCTTCAAGGCAAAGTAATTATGGCACGTGGAAGCCCCTGCACTCAGCTCACTTGTCAGCCAGGATGCTGTGCTGGGCCTGGCAGAATTCTGCCCTCACACTCAGAATCGCCATAAATGTGCAGCGTATGCTCCAACAGAACACCTGAGAGAAGAGAAAGATCAGGTAAGAGGATTTGTTGCTTCTACTTGCAGAAACACTGAATGCTGACCCTCCCAGAGAAACCTGAGTTAGACTAGAGAAGACTGTATTTAAAAAACAAACAAAAAACAATCTTCATTAGACTCCTCACAGTTGCAATCCCGAATATCCTGTGGGCACTGAGACATGGACTTCTGGTAAGTGCTGCTCCTGGCAGACACCGGAACTGAGAACAAGGAAACCTTTCTATGCTCTCTACAGCCCTTCCCTCCCATTCAGGTGCCTCAAAAGAGAAGAAAATAGCACAAAGCCGAGTACACTCTCCAAAGTGGCTGTTGGTACAGTCATACCTGCTTGGCTTAAGGCCAAATATGTTACAAATACTGTTGGTATAGCTTATTTTTTCCTGAGCAAAATAAGCAGCACAAGCAGAAACAAGAGTGTACCTAAAGTGCCACGTATTTGAGCTTTTGCTAGCAGATAAATTTCACCCACAGTGCTGTATCCACAAACTCCTACAGCAGCAGCGAGACACCCTCCAGAAATCAGCCATTTCAACAGCAGTCAAATGGTCACTTAACAGTAATAACTGTAAGTTATTCTCAGTCTTACCTGTGTTCACAGACTAGGGTATTAAAAGCCTGTGGCAGATTCCAGTCCTAACACATAGGCTTCAAAATACAGATGTTTCAGCAAAAGCAATAAAAGATGGAACCATGCAATTCAACCATGAAGGTTAGGCAGATGAAAATGGAGCTAAAAGAGCTCAGCTCATTTAAGGCTGAAATACTAAATAAGCAACATGGCTTTTCACTGCATTTAAAAAGCCAAAGAGTCACTACTGACACTTCAGGGTTTTAAGGAAAAAGTTTGAAATCTTGAATCAAATCCAAACTAACAGCCAGAAGTCACAAACCTGCAACTCAGCGAATGCCATCAGGGAAACATACACACATGGAAGTTCACCCCCCAAACTTCTGGTGCACCCAACATTTTAAAGAGATCCTCACTTGAAAATAGTCAAATTAAGTCCTACAGAATCACCTTTTTCACTGACATGAAGACAGAACTCACCCACAGAACAACAATTATTTCCTTAAAGAACAGCTCTCAGTGCCAAAAAAAATCCGTGGATTAGGTTGCCAGAGGCAAAAGCAGAGATGCTGTCAATGACCTGCCCCAGCCTTAGCACAGCTCCACTGAGTGACTCAAATGCGCATTTCAAAAATGAATCCAGGAATATTTCAGCAGTGTCATGACTACAGGATCCACTTTCACCCCAGCTGGAAGAATTCCATCTAAGCACATCACGCTCAAGTCCTTACACATTGTCAATTCTTGCACATTTGTCACACACATACTACCCAATACAATACCCAATTTGTCTCCTACATAGTACCCAATCTCAAAGGGTAGAGGTTGCTAAAATCAATTCCAGCCTGCTGTAGCTGTAATGCACCAGGAACAGAATGACCAAAGTCACAGTGTCCACATGTGCAACGTCTGTAAAACTTGATGCAAGAAAGTCCCTTTTCAGGCCAACTCTGACCTGGTTTCCCTGCTTTGAACACAGCCCAGTCATATGGCATGTCCTGAGAGTGACCCACACACCTATGCTACACAATGGTTCCAAAACTAACTTTTGAGCACTCAAAAAGGTCATTTAAATAAAATTAGTGGTCAACAGATCTTGGCATATGAGATCAGAACTTGGATCCTGCACATCAGAGGCTTGCAGCATTACAAAGTACACTGTCATGAGGGGAAGAGCTGTTGCATCGTATTTAAACAAATCCTTTAGACATTCTTCTTTTCAGCACCAATAATTTCATTGGAAAAGCCTCATGCAGTGCTATTTGCACTGAGTTGTATCAGCCCAGATCATTATAGTTACACTTCACCTCCCTCAAGCAAATCAAAGAAGGAATTTCAACCCAATTATTTTAAGTTTTTTGTAAAACTGATTTACCAAGTCATTGAGAAAGGACACATGGAGATACCATGTTCCAGTGAATCCAGAGTGGCAGGGGCAGCTCTGCTCTGATCTGCAGCTGCTTGTGGTCTGACCCTGGCCAAGCCACTTTCAGTAGCTCAGCTCATCCTGTAGAGCGAAAATGACACAATTTACCTTCCCCAAAGGAGTACAACTGAAGTGTTTAATCAGCTAATAGCTAAGAAATGATTAAAAACAGTGTGCTGTATTTAAGGCTGAAAAATAATTTCCAAAAGGATAAGAAGTTCATGTAGCACAGGAGCCTATTTGTAGAAGTTGGGTTACTGACACATACATCCCTTCCTCCCTCGATTTTCAGCTGCTGTTAAGCTGAAGTTTAAAAAGAAAAACTAGGCTCCTCATTAAGGAAATGAAAACTAGGAAAACCCCTGTTGTCTGCAACTTCTGATCTCCCCAAGCAAATACTTTACCATTTTCTTCCTCCCTGTGCTAGCAAGCAAATCTGCACTTCAAAAATCCCAAGAGAACAGAGCGCTACCAAACCAACAAGAGTAACTAGAAACCAGGTCTATGCACAACATAAAAAAGGAATAATTTCTCAGCCAATTAATCTTCAACTTTTTATATTTAGAAAGTGAGATAGTACATGGAGAGAAACCAAAAGATGACACCACGTCTTGCATGGCTGGCCTCAGAAAGGGAGTGGAGGTATCCAACATGTCAACACCATGAATGAAGTGCAAGAGGTCCATCAGGATCTGGAGGAAGAGAAAAGGCAGAGGGAGAGGACAAACAAGCCAAGCAATAGCCATACATACATCTGAAAAGAACTAAATATGCTTGGGAGTCAGATCATGATGTTGTTTAACTTAATTATAGGGAATCACCACCAATAAAGGTGTGCATCTATACAACCGAGTTTAGCAAGCTGTGCCAGTGCACTTACGGCCAGGACTCAGGTGCAATGAGCTCCCCACCTCACGCTCACACACAGCCACACATGCCAAGAGAGCTTGGTGAAGCCTAAAGAGAACAATTTGAGAAGAATGTATTTCAAACTACTATGAACATGGAAGAATATGCTTGAAACATGAGGAGGGGGCAATGCATTAACTAACATAAATAAATCAGGATGATTAACTAATTAAGAGAACAGGTAAATGAATTCCTGACTGGATAAAAGCTTCACCTGAGATTGCCTTAAGCAAAAACCCAGCACACCTACACCACTCACCTCCAGTGCCTGCAGCCTCAGTCATTACACTGATGCCTTAATTAGATGCTTCAATAGGACAAGCTGCTGCTCTTCCCTATTGAGCCCATGCAAAGCAGGAAGACAGGGCTAATGAAAAAAAAGTAGTAACATCATCAGGAATTCCCAGTTCCACCAGCTCCTTCAGAACACACTGGCAGAAGTGCTGCCTTAGCTACATCGAGGCAGCAAAGAGCCTGCAACAGCTGCAGTTTCCACAGACTGCAGAACACGGGTACCTGTGGAAAGGTCACTTGGATCCTCTTTCAAAACAACCCAGCAACAGGATGTGCAGCAGAGCCCTCTAATTTGTCAGGCTGTAGTGAAGAACACTGCTGTGTTCTGGAGTCCAGTATTTTCAAAAGATCTCAGCTGGTTTTGTTCCTGTAAGCAGGAATCCGCATTGGATGTTAACAGAGTCAGGTCATGTGGTGCTTCATTTTCATTTTCTATGAAACCTCATTCTTGGGGTTAGCATTTCCGCACGTGAAATCAACATCACGGCACGCTGAGGGTGCCCAGCCGATCCCATGAAAATTCCCATCCATATGAGGCTGCAGCCAGCCAGGCTTTTCCTGACACACTGTGTATGTCAGATTTCACCTCCCCTTTCTGCGCTGCCCTGCTAAGTGACCCACATTCTGTCCATACACCCTTAAAACGTCCTGTTTCATCTGAGTGCTTCAGAGGTGAACGAATTCACCCAGTCCTCCAAACTGAGCCTTAAACCAGCAGAAACACACACTAGCAAGAAGCAAAGCAACTATCTTTTCTAAAATATACTCTCCTAGTACAAATGGGAAAGCAACTCTGGAACGTTCTTGGAAGGAGTTATTGAACGGTCTCTGAAGGAAGCTTGCTTGGAATGACACGTGCCTAGAGAGGGGTGAGGTCAAACTTTTACTGTCCCACCCTCCCCTCCCAGCCTGCAGACAAGCTCTGCGGGTGACTCACACGTTTCCTTTCACACCAACCCCAGCCCAGGCTGTAAAACCCACCCATAGAAGCCGCAGCAGCACAGAGCAAGAGAGGGAAAATAAGTACAGATTAAGTAACTCAAAAGTGACATGAGGAAACGGCAAGAACTGTCGACTATGCTGTGCAAAACTACTCGGGTTGAGAAGAATCCTGCAGCACAACTCAGTTCTGAGTACTACACAGGAAAGGTTTAGCTGCCATCCCCAAATTTGAGTGAGGTCAAACCACAACATCTAACAAGGACATTGATGCACAGAGCCCACGACCCTGCAAGCTGGGAGCAGGAAGCGATGAGACACCACCGGAGCTCCTTCCGAGGCCCAGCAGGTACATGTGCTTTGCAACTCAGAACTTTTCTTTCTGGAGAGGGGCTTCTGACAAGAGCCTGTAGGGACAGGCCAAGGGGAATGGCTTGAACCTGCCCAAGGGGAGACTGAGCTGAGCTCTTAGGCAGAAGCTCTTCCCTGTGAGGGTGCTGAGGCGCTGGCACAGGGTGCCCAGAGAAGCTGTGGCTGCCCCATCCCTGGCAGTGCTCAAGGCCAGGTTGGACACAGGGGCTTGGAGCAAGCTGCTCCAGTGGAAGGGGTCCCTGCCTGTGGCAGGGGTTGGAGCTGGAGGAGCTTTGAGGTCCCTTCCAACACAAACCAGACTGGGTTTCTGTGATTCCTTCCTGCAAAATAGAAGCTGCTTCGTCGTGAAAAATCCTGTTTTGACACAGGCTCTTTTGAACACTTTCCCCACCCACCATTTATTTACTAAAACCCCTTCAGAAGACACATTTGAGTGCTATTTACATACTATGTCTCAAATAGTTTAAAGTTACTAAAAGTCTTTGAAAGTCACAAGCAAAAGGCCCTGCTATGAAAAAGAAACTTAAGCTCTTACCCCATTTAACGCACAGAATTGTATTTCAATAAAATTAAAAATCACTTTAGACAACAGTTCATGAGAATGTGACACTAAGAGCTCATCCTGAAAAACCTGAATGCTGAGTGCTCTGAACTGTATCAACTGCTGGTCTTTGAAAACACAGCCCTGCAAGGTCAGCAGCTCCCCAACAACTCAAACTAAATATTCTCACACTTTCAGACGACGGAGCAAAAAAAAACCAAACAACCCAGAAAAAAGCCCTTAACAAGTCAAGCAGGACTTTCACACCACGCAATGGAGACTTTACCCTGCAGAGGTACTGAGTTACTTGCATCTTACTCATCTCACTCATCTGAATGTGTGTGCGCCTTGGCCAGAAAAATGACCGAGTGGAGAGCTAGCTCCTTCTCCCTGCTCCTGCAGCAGTTAAATTCAGCCTGACAACACAAACTGAAGCTTACTGATAAATCTCACTGCACCTCCACTGAGTCTCAGTTGTCAGAATCCAGAGTCCATTATTTTGAGCAGAGCTAAATTTCAGTGTAAGCGACAGAATTTATCTTTTTAGTACAGAACAGAGAAACAAGAGGCAACAAAAAGGTTCACCTAACAGTGACGTGAATAGAAACAGCACCACAGTGTCTCATCTCTTAGAGCTGAAAAAAAGGATCAGGAGATTTAAGACTCCTTTAGCCCTTCTCAATTAGAAAAATGAGCCCCAAGATGATATCAAAGTCAACACCCACTCTAAAGGTAATTTATACTCTCTGATGATAGGCATCAGCCAGATACCAGGCTCAATAAGTGCCCGCCTAACCCAGCTTCAAAAAGAGGAGTAACTTTTAGCCCAGATCCTCAAGCCATTAGGTCTATTTTTCAGTGTCAGACACAGCTAGTTTACATCTCCAGCTCTTTACCAGGCAAAGAAGCTGTCAAACTAATCCAAATGCAACAAACACCCCAGAGCTCCTCTCTGCCAGCTCAGTAATGGCGCATCATTGACAACGTGTTTTCTCCTCCAAGGTACTATCAAAATACACAACCTACACTACTTAATGATGTGATCTGCTTGCACTGCAGGATCTCAAGAGCTGTGTTTTCAGCTGTGGATCACCATCCTCCTTCAAGTGAGGACAGAAATGTGCCTTTCCACAAGCAACAACTCTCCCTCCCAGGCGTCACCACAGTCAACCAACAGGACATGCCACCACAGGGCAAAGTCCAGTGACAGGAGTGAGGTGAGCTACTGTGATCACAGCTCAGCTCTGCTCAAGGAAGGACATCTGAGTACAGCTGCGTGCAACAGAATGCTGACTACTTGCAGGTAATCAAACCTGAAGTCAATCATCTACATTTATGAGAGATTCCATTAAAAAGATGGCAGCTAGCCCCTATGCAAGGCCACCTAGATTTCTGGTTCTGCAGCCACACGTATGCAGATACCTACTCCTACCTTAACTCCGACCAATCTTTTCTTTCCAGCAGTTGGGTTCATTAAATCGAAGTATTTCTACGTGTTGAGTCATACGGAGATAGAGGTTTTTGGCTGCTGCTGCTGGTGGGTTTATCTTTTTTTTCTTCTTTAAATACTAACTGCAGTTCTGAGTCAGAACCTGACTGGTTCATCTGGGGAGTTTTGAAGCGAGATTCCATTTATACAGTAGCCTTTAAAAGCCAACTTTCTGCCTTACTCCTCCTCACACTGAAACCAAGGAGCATACAGCTGCCCCAAGAGACAAAGCAGATTGTGACTAATCACACCAAGGAACCACGAGGAACCATCACTGCAGCTGAGTGGAGGCCACATCTACAATCATCCCCATCCCATAACACCTCCCAGCCTCCAAATCCCAAACCTCCAGCTCTCAGTAACTAGGGCTCCTCACCCACTAAAGCAGCAAACCCCAGCCATGCCCAGCAACCACAGCACTTCCTGTCTCAGGCCTTCCTGCAGGTCACTCAGCACCCTCAGCAACATCAGCACTGGCTTTTAGCTGCTGCCCTGGCTAGGCTTCATCAGCTCCCTGCTTCCAACCCAGAAAGCTCCAAGTCCCACAGGGCAGCCCTCTGCATTCACAACCCTGCCCCCACTCAAACCCCAGGAAAACCACCACATCCTGGACACCCTTCCTTTCCAGCTCCACATGCTCCCCCTGAGCCTGAGAAAGATTCAACACACACACTGCTCCCAGTCTTTCCCCTCCAGTTTCCAGCCCAGATCCCAGGAAAAAATTCTTACCCTTCACAGACCTTCTCCAGGCCTAACCTCTTCCCCCCAAACAACTCACCCATCTTTTCTCTATCCATACATACACACAGAGGAAGTAACACCCCCTCCCCTCAAACCAACCCTTACAAATGCCCCCCTTTTCAGATACAGGCAAGATCCCCCATTCACGCACATCAGCCCCTTTTCAGCCTCAGTATCCTCTCATTGCTGCAAAACTACAGCACCCCAAGCCCAGGCAGAAAGCAGTTCTCTCCCCTAAGCCATTTATTTGGGGTCCACACCCCCTCAGCACCACTACTGAAGGGGGACCCACACTAAATAGCCGCACAGCCCTGGAGGATGGGTGCTGGACGTTAACCCCATCCCACCAACGAGGAAGGTCCCTTCGAAACCAGTCTCGCAGGTGGGACACCTCACAAAGCACCCGACGCTACAGGCAAAGGCTCCTATTCTAGACGAGCCTTCCTGGCCATGGGGACCCCTCACACCATCCCACCCCACAGGCAGAGAGGTAATCCCCTACAACGAGTCCGAAGCAGAGCAGAGATCTCAGAGTCTGAGACGCTCCACGCCTGCCCAAGGCAGCTCCTAATGCCCGGAAGGGTTCCCCAAACAGGCCCCAGAGGTCAGGAAACACCCCCAAGACCAGGATGCCCCCCCCCCAAGCCATCCCGGCGGAGCAGGCGAGGGGCCCTGGGCACAAAAGGCGCCTCCAAACCGTCCGCAGAGGCCAAGGAAGTCCCTGACCTGCCCCGCAGGCCACGGAATCCCCCCACAACCTCCTAAGCAGCCGAAGGAAGGACCCCACAGGCCTCCCCAGAGCCATTATCCCCGGCACCGGGGACTAGCCTCCTCCTCACCCGAAGCCCCCCAGTTCCTCCTCGCCGCAGACCCTCACCCTGAGCATTGAGCGCGTCAGCGTTCTTCCGAGCGGGCCCGGTGCCTCCCAAGCACCGGGCCGGGCGCTGGTAAGGAGCGGAGGGAACAGAGGGGGACCGGTAGCGGCGGGGCTGGGGCTGGGGCTGTGCTGGACCGGTCCGGCCCGGAGACACCAGAGAGCCCGCGCGCTGCCACACGGCTCCTCGCTCACAGGCCGCTCCCTCCCCGCCCGCGCCCCGTGGTACGGCCCAGCCCGCCGCTGATTGGCACGACCCGCCTCACACCCACACCCGGCATTGGTACGGTCCACCCGACCCGATCCGGCGCGCTAGGCGCACCCATCCGCAGCGCCGCGGGGGTGCTCCCGCTATGTCGATGCTCGCATAAGAAGCGCTGGGGCGGCTTCGCTAGGCGCTGCCGCGGCTCTCCGTGCCGGGTACCCCTCCCCGTGCCGCGAGGAACGGGTCCCTCCGTCCCGCTGCTGTTACAACAGACCTTCCGCCTGCGCGTGGGAGGTAGCATTAGCACGTTTCCCTTCTCTTCCTTTTGAGCAGTGGTGCGGCTCGCCCTGCACGGCACGAAGCGGAACGCACCGCCCCGCTACCCCCTCTCACACTTGGTACGTCCCGGCCTCGCCCTCCCGCCGCCGCTCCGTCGCACTTGGGCTGTCCCTGCGGCCGCATGTGTGCACGGCTGCATCCACACCAACACATAGCGCACAGAGGCAGTGGTACAGCCCGCTCTTTCTCACCCCCGCTCAGTGGTTCGGCCCGCCCGGTGATTCCCACGGCTCTAGCTTCCACCGGTGGCACCGGCACCGCGGCTCCCGAGCGCCCGGCGGGCACAGCGCTGCTGCTGCCATGTTCGGAACGGCCAGCACACGGGCAGGCCCCCGCCACAACCGAAATAAAGGAGCACGGTGGCTCAGAGCTCGGGGTTCCAGCCGGAGCGCACCCCCGGGGACAACCCCACCTCGTTACGTAAGGTAACGACAAAGGAAGGTCTCACCCCTTTACACCCTCAGTAAGCAAGACAATAAGAAAAAAAGACAATAAAAGTGACTTAAGGTACAAATAGTGACCCAACTCGTTGAACAAAGAGTCCAGGTTCACTCCAGAAACCTAGGGAGTGATGGAAGCTGGTCCCGGGTTTCCGAGTTTCCAGTCCAGAGCCCCATTCCACAGCCTTCCTCTAAAAACCTGAAACACAGTCCCAAGGAGCCACATGCATCTCGCTTTGTGCTGAAGTTCCTTGAGGAACCCCTCGAGACCTGCCCTGCAGAGTGCAGCAGAGGTTGTGGGAGGACAGGAACTAGGAGCTCTGTGTGAATGAGGAGGAAGCTGGTGGAGGAGCAAAGCAGGCACACGTATCGGGACACACAGAAGTCCGAAGCCATCACTAGCAGGAGCTCTTTATGCAGGCACGATGTTTTGTGCAGCGGAACTGTTGAGCGCAGCACAAAAGGTTTGTGCAGGTTCAGGAGAGGTTGTTGGGAAATGACACTGGAGGTGAGAGAGACAGGACAAGGTGCAGGTTGTCTTACCCGTTGATGTCGGGGGTTATGTTGGTCCATGAACATCAGCTTCAGCTCTGCAGAGAAGGGGTGGCTGCAGGCAGCAGTCTGTCACCAGATATTGAGAGATCAAATAAGAATCCTGAACAGGCTAAAGTATATGTGTAAATCACTCATTATAAAAGCTGTTGTCTTCTCATGTTCTCATTCTACAACTGCCAAATTATTAATGAAATGCCATGTTTGATTCTACACTGAGGAGCTGCAGTGCTGAAAATGTACCCTGGCTCTGTTTGTGCTGCCTCTGCATCCACACTAACAGAACACCCTGTACACCAGGGCTGTCACACATCATCCTGTCTGGGAAGCTTTTCAGTGCCACTGGGCTGGAACTCACGGCTGCGTGAATCCCCCAGCGAGGTCTCCTCCAGCGCGTCTAACTGGAGTTCCTTAACCTCTGATAACCGCAGCCCATAGGATTCTTCCTCTTCCCTGCTGTGTAAAGTCACCTGGCACACAGAAATTGCTGGCTCTCTCCAAACCCCCATTACATGGGACCAACGTAACGAGGGCTTGCCTCCCCGGGCACTGCCGAGGCCTTGCAGCACAGGACTACAGGGAGAAACCACTGCCCCTCACCGAGCCTGCACAGACCACGCCAAAGGGCGACTCTGCCACAGCACTGCCGCCTGCAGGCGACGCGCATGCGCGACACCAGCTTTGGCGCCGGCGCGCCCAGCGCCTATGCATGCGCAATGCGACACGGGTGCGCTTTCTCCCACCGCCCCAGGCCTAACGTCATACCGCCCGAGCCGGCGCTGCCCCCGCCTACCCACGTGTCGAGCCGTTGGGGGCTGTACGGCGCAAGTGCGGAGGCGCGCGGGGCGGTGGCGCGGGAGCTGGAGCTGGGGGGAAGAGAGAGGAGGAGGAGGACGCGGCGCTTCCGTTGCGTCACTTCCGGCGTTGTCGCCGTGGCGGTCGGTGTGGCCGCTCCGGTGTGCTCCGCCCCCCTCTCCTTGCCATGCAGCGCCGCGACGACCCCGCTGCTCGTCTGGGCCGCGGGCCTGGCCCCGGCGGTGCCCGGCAAGGGGGTGCCCCGTCGCGGCGGCCGCCCCGAGGCGGGGGGGGCCGTGGGGCCAGTAGCGGGGCGCAGCCTCCGCCGCCGCTCCTGCAGTCCAATGCCGCTGCGGCCGGCGCCTCTACCGGACAGGCCCCCGCCGCCGGCACCCCCGCCCCGCTGCTCTCCGGCGGCTCTGCCAAGATGGAGCCTGAGAACAAGTACCTCCCTGAGCTGATGGCCGAGAAGGACAGCCTGGACCCGTCCTTCACGCACGCCATGCAGCTCCTCACCGCAGGTACCAGGGGCTGGGTAGGGTGGGACCCCGGCGTTCGGTGGGGCGGGTAGGGGAGAATGCAGCTCCCGGTGAATGCCGTGTGGAGGGGTGGGGGAGCGGGAGACACCCGGGTGGCCGATGCTGCCGGCGCAGGGGCATCAGCGAGGGGCGGCCGCTGATCGACCCTGTCCAGTCTGACCGCGAGGGTTTGAAGTTTAGATATTTCTCTCATTTAATCTTTGTTAGCCCTGTGCTTAATCCGTGGCCTGGACCGAATTAAACGCAGAGCCAGAACTTTCTTTTTAAACATGGTGTGCGGTCGCGTTGGCTCTTTTCATCCCTGGGGAAAGAGGGGACCACAGAGCACGGTAAAACCCGGGAGTTCCCCATGCAGCGCCTGCTCGAGCCTCTGCGAGCCGTGGTTTGTGATCTGTTTTGATTATCCATTCTGGTAAACTGTGTTAGAGTTTATTTCGTGTCCCTGGTGAAGCTGAACAGGGAATGGAAATGGCAGCCTTTGTTCTGTGTCTGACTGGCTCTTGTCCTTCCCCATCACTGGTGGCTGATTTCTTCACGTCTCCACGGAGCAGCTGCTGGTGCCTCTGCCGAGCAGATTCTGCTGCTTTGAGACTCTGTGGCTAGCTTAAAAGTGGTAATGAGTCAGAATAGCTGCCACTGACAGCATTATGTGCAGGTAGTGGAGAGCTGGGAGGCACCCAGCGCAAGGGTATGATCTGGTTTAATCTTCACATGAGCAGAGAGCTTCACTCTGTTGCTTATTCTGCTTTTGAATTGGTTCATTTTAATTTTTTAGGGTCTTTAAAGTGTATAGTATTGTCGTGGCTGGTGCAGTGCTTGGGATTTTATTAGCTCCTCCTTTAACGTAGAAAATGATTCTTAGGAATCACTGCCTCCCATTGTGTGAGGAGCTGAGGTCTGTCATCGTGGGAACTTTGGCATCACTCACCGACATCTTGATCTAAATAAATTACTTTAATATTCTGATTTGACAGCAATTTGATATTTTTCATTAATAAACCCCTTTAGCCAGCTGATGCTCAGCAGCTCAGGATAATGCCTCCCAGAGAAATGAAACCTAAGGCGTTTGCTCATTCTGGCACAGAGCCGTGTTCTTAGCCTACTTCATAAAGCTGTGGTCACTCGAGTGGTGTAACTTATGAGTGGTTTTTTTTTTCCATTAAATTAAAAATTGCTTGTAGTAGACTGCAGCTTTGTGGGGCTTAAAATTGATAATTGGAAGAGCTCCAGATGCTTCATGCTTGCTTTGGATGTTTGAAAAATTGGTGACCTTTAGGAGCATTCACAAGCAGCCCAAATTCAGGATGCTCTGAGCAGGGAGCTCGTGAGAGAGAATCTGAACTAAAACAGTGGGTTTAGGTAACTGAATGACAGATGACCCCAAACTGATCTGGATTGCTCAGAATTTCTCTTCTGCTATGGCACCCTTTGGTGATGTCATGTTGGAGAAGCTGCTATAAAGCTTACTTAGGAATTTAGGTCTGAGCCAAAGCACAACTTAAGCAAAATGACTTCCAGACAAAGAAGTGACTGATTATTGAATGTCAGCAGTATTCTTATCCCAGCCTGTTTTCAGGAATAGAAGTTGCTTGTCCTGCCTACGTCTGGGAGGAAACCCTGAGGAGCTCTGCCTTGAACCCTAGCACTGTTCAAGGCCAGGCTGGACACAGGGGCCTGGAGCAAGCTGCTCTAGTGGAAGGGGTCCTGACCCGTGGCAGGGGATTGGAACTGGATGAGCTTTAAGATCCCTTCCAGCACAAACCATTCTATGATTCTATGAAATTAAGACTTCTTCTTTAAATGCAACGTGTAACAGAAGCCTACAGTACCTTTGTGGTTCTAAAGCTGCATTTCTAGAGAAAAATAGCATTATTAAGGCGCAAAGTGAAGGGCAGCACAGTGATGTCATACTGATTCCTAAGAAGTGTCCTGTGTGATGGAAAGACACGATTCTAAAGAAACTGAAAACTGGGATTTCTTGCACCTTGGAATATGATCCATGTTTCCTCACTTCTGTAATTCAGGGTCTGTGTGACCTTCCATAGGAACAAAAACCCTTTTTTTTTTTTTCCCCTCACTTTGAGTTATGCCCTCCATCTGCTGCAGGGAGATCAGGAGGAGATGCTGAGGCTTTGAAAGGCACAGTCCTCTCTTTCTGTGTGCCTTGGGAGGACAGGAGATGGCCAGCAATGTGTTATCTGGGTGTAGGGGTGGGGGATTCTCCAAATTCTTGTGGTAATCTTGGCTATTTTTATATCATGGAGAAACTCCAAGTGAAAAGAGCTGGTCATCTCTGAGCTTCCTAAGCTGCAAACAGGTATTTGAGCTGTGTCATTCCACTAGCAAGGCTCTGTGTAGCTAGAATCTAGTTGGTCCTCACGTTAAATACAGCCCTTTCCTTCCCCAGAGGTGTGGAGTGGTGAGGAGTGGATTCACAGCAGTGGGTAGGGTATTGGAGAGGGACCTGTAAAGGGAGGGGGGGCTGAGGACTGGAGTTAGAGCACCACATTGTGATGCAGGGAGCAGTGTGAGGTGCTGGAGGACTCCTAAACAAATCCCCTGTTGACCAGGCTGTTTCCTGTGCCAGGTTAATTCAGTCTGTGTGTATCCCTAGGAAGATAAAAGGGATGCATGGGAAAATTGGCTGCATGGGTGGTGGCCTCAGTGGAGTGACTAGCTAAGGAAGCCACCAGTGGGATTAGGGAAGGGCTGAGGTCATGGGGGTGATGAGAAGCTGTGTGTAACCCAAAGCAATCCAGTCTGCTGGAGCTTTCTTTGTGTGGGATTAAAGCTGTCCTGAAATGTGGACAATCGTACAGGTTCCTCTGCTTCCATGTGCATGCCCTGCTCCACAGGACCTGTAACTGCAGCCTTACGCTAGTGTCCAGATGTTGCAGGTTGTGATGTGCTCAGAGCATTTCCCTGTTGCATTTTCCAATGTATTATGTGCTGCTGAGCATGCCAATGTGATGGGGCGTTGCTCGGCTCTGCCTCCTCCTGCTGCCTCCCAGGAGCCTCCACTACCTGTGTGTTCCTCAGAGCTCACCTCCAGGCTTTCTCCCTGCCTCAGCTTGAGCCCAGTTCCTTTACTTCCCCACGTCCCTGTGCTAGTGGCAGATCCCTCCCTTCTCAGCAGCCCTGTTTGTGTGTGATCCCAGCATATGCACGTGAGGGGGGGGGGGGGGGGTGTTGTGGCAGAAAGCAGGAGGAAAATAATGGGAAATGCCAAACCCTGCAGCTTCCGCTCCTGAAGGAGTCCATCCCAGAGCAGGTCCCTGCTTCCTCTCCTGTGCAATCAAACCAGCTGGGGAGCAGTAGTGTAGAAGAGAGGTGGCTCTGCTTTCTTCCAGAGGCTCCCATCCGTAAACTCTTGGGGTTTTCCTGGGGTTTTTTGGATGTGGGGTCAGTATTGTTATACTGATAATACTGATAATACTCTCAGTATTGTGAATGAACAGAATGGCTCTCTGCTTACAGAGCACAAATGTGCTGTGGAACAGTGTTTAATGTGTTTTTTATTAAGGAAGAGCTTGGGTTTCGATCAGGAGTAGCACTGTGGCTGCTTAGCCTCCTCCTTGTGAAGCAGCGGTGTTACCAACCCCCTTTACCTACCCTTAGGATTTCTTCTGAGACAATGCAATCACTGCCCCACATGAAGTCCTGGAAACCACTGCCACACATGCCGCCAGCCTGCTGCCATTCCCCGTGGCACAAAGGTAACCTTCTGCTGCACCTCTGACACGGCTTTAAAATATCAGCACTGAAATGAGGCATGTTTAATCCCTCCAGGTATACGTATGCTTCTCCTTCCTATCAGTAAGTGGTCTGACAAAATGCTACCACTCATCAGTTCATTCAGTCCTGCTTCGTGTTGTATAGCCAGAATACAGACAGATAACGCTGGAATCCGGAGCCGTAAGACATGTCACAAGTGGAATGTTTTCAGTCCTTCTTCACACCTATTTCCAGACACAGAGTTTGCTCTGCAGGTGTAAAGGGAACTGCTGGGTCACCACTCTGACCTGAACCACAAAACCTAGAGAAGAGCTTAGAGTCATTCTGTTGTGCAGGGTTTTCCCGTCTCCTTTGTTTTATACCTGTGCTGGAGACATGCTGGTGGTGGATCGGATGAGGGTTTTTAGCCAACAGTTCGTTATCTGTTGCCCTCACAGACTGGTTCTCAGTTCTGCCAGGAGGCAGAGTGCATCTGGATGTGGGGTTGGTGGCAGCTGTAATTCACTGCTTTGCAGAGCCTGACATCTGATTGTGTTGTAGTTTGATGAGGTAGAAGATGCCTCTAGGTACTTTAATTTGTGTCAAGAAAGGATTAGGGTGCTTTTATTGCTGATGTGGGCATAGAAAACAGTTCTTGTTAACATGCAGAATGCATTTTTAGGAATTAATCTAGTGTTTTTGGAGAAACAGAACACTTGAGAAGTCACCGTGATGCATTACAGGGTCTAAAGCTGCTCCCAACCAGGGATAAGGCCACCAGAGCAATCTTCAGTTTCCAAATCCTGATTCTCCAATCTGTTCCTATAGCTAAAATTAAAAACTACATAGAACTCCCCACGGCAGCAGATTTTTTTCTTATTTTATACATTTGCCAGTGCTTGAACTCTTGGTTTTTTGTTTTTTGGTTTTTTGTTTTTTTTTACTTTTGAGTAATATCTTTAGAAAATCATCTCTTAAAGCAAAAATCAAGCTTTTTCAAAGCAAGTAGAGCTGGTAATTTTAAGAAGTCATGGTAACACTTTTGTAAGAGAGCCAAGATGTTTTTGCCAGTAGAAATAACGATATTCAGGCTTCTTTTTTTTTTTTTTTCCATAAATTTGCAACATAATTTCCAAGGTCCATGTTGAGAACCCGAAACTAAACCCCAGTATGTATTACTGTGTCCAGAACGGAAAGGTTACAATATTAATCATTGGATGATGTTTTCCTAAAGGTTTGGGATTTTTCTTGATTGCACATGTTGTTGGACGACTTCCTTGTGGAAAGGTGCTTCTGAGCCCACTAGGTTGTGGTTGCCTGTGCTGCAGGAGGATGCTGTTATCCCATTATACCTGTTTCTGTTTGGATGGTATGAGAGTATGACCAGGTGGATAATATGTCAAGTATCTGATACACCAAGTTGTAAACATGAGCATTTAATCTAAAGCTTATTGTTTCTGGCGTGGGCTGAAGTTCACAGGAAACACCAGATACTGAAATTCTGCTGGAACTTGGGTGATGACTAAGTAAGCCTCAGTTTTTGTCTTGCAGCTTTAATCCAGTTACAGGTGTAACCTGGAGAAAGTGTCTCTCTTCTCCCGAGATGTGAGAATTTGTATTTAGAGCACTTTCAACTCAGAAAAGGTATTTATCATTCTTGGGTTTGCTGATGAAATGACACCATTTAGGTTTAAGGCAGGGCCATGCTCCTCTCCTGATTAGCATCTGTAAATAGAAATTTGGGATGGCTATGCATGGTGTGACCAGTTTTGGTTTTGGTTGATCCAAAGAGTATGTAATGGTTCATCAGTGATTTGGGGTTGTTAATAACGGATTGGCTTCAAATTTGTGGGAACTTATCTTCTAATTTTTGGCCATTAAATAAAATTTGTACCTAAATGGACATTCCTGGAAAAGAAAAGCCAGTCAGCTCTGGGCTGCGGGCTTTGGGGAGATGTTGGGTGTCCTGCACAAGGGAAGGTGTGTTAATGACTGTAAGAACCTGTGCTAGAAATGCCTGCCTTGTAGATGGTCCGTAATCTTCTCCATTTGGGTTGTCTTTTGAGGTGATCATCTCCTACCATCTCCACGTGAGTTTAATTTCTAGCTGGATTTGAGAAGGTGTTTGTGTGCTAGTTCCCAGTTGGCCTGCCTTAACCATCTGCTTCCAGAAGGTTATTTGGTCTTTGTTCCAGATTCCCCTCAGGCTGCTGCATGCCTTCAGTTCAGTCAGGCCACCTCAGTGTTTTTCCAAGACCCTGGAATTCACAATATACAATTAAAAATCAGAATCTTAATTTGAGAGACAAAAATTTGTCCTTGCATTGCCTGACAGAGGGGAGACTGAGCTGAGCTCTTAGGCAGAAGCTCTCCCCTGTGAGGGTGCTGAGGCACTGGCGCAGGGTGCCCAGAGAAGCTGTGGCTGCCCCATCCCTGGCAGTGCTCAAGGCCAGGTTGGACACAGGGGCTTGGAGCAAGCTGCTCCAGTGGAAGGGGTCCCTGCCTGTGGCAGGGGTTGGAGCTGGAGGAGCTTTGAGATCCCTTCCAACCCAAACCACTCTGGGATTCTATGAATCAAGTTAAGGACTTGACACTCACAGCTGTATGCTTGAGGCTTACAACCAAGTTACGAATTGGGTCTTTAGAATTCATCTAATGAAATGAAGCTTATAAGAATTTCCTAAACCAGACCACACTCTAGTGTGTCATGCGTTCAGGCTTCTGTTTATTAGGAATCCTTGCAACTCACCAGAACTCCATGGTCTCAGTGCGTGGTGGCACCACTCATTAAATTGCAGGTTTAAAATAGTGCATCGGCTTGAACGATAAGAACTTCGTTGGTTTGCTGCTGGCTGCTGCGTTACAGTGAGCATAACACATAGTGTAGCTGGTGTCCTTGGAGGTTTGGGTGTCTGCATGGATTACTGCATTCATGGTGGTGGTGTGAGGCTGGGCGTTGACAGAGGAAGGCACAGCAGAAGTGATACACAGGACTGTATGTAGTTTCCTACTCTGATGTGTTGAAGTTATTTGTAGGGCATTCTCTGCTGTTCTTTCTTAGGTTTATTCATGACCCCATTATTGGCCTTCTGGAGTCCCTAGGTGTGAAGGGAGGAGGAGGCTAGGACTGTCTGTCCAGACTCCATCAATACAATTCTGAGTGTTCATGTATGCACAGAGAATGAGGGTTGTCTGTCCTGTTGTAATTCCAACTCCAAGTTATGCTTGTTTGAGGAATGTAAGCAGCCCTATTTTTATCTTGTTTAGAAATTGAAAAAATTCAGAAGGGTGAAACAACAAAGAAGGATGATGAGGAGAACTACCTGGATTTATTTTCCCACAAGAATATGAAACTGAAAGAACGAGTTCTGATACCTGTCAAACAGTACCCCAAGGTGAGGGCCAGAAAACAGCTTATTGAATCTCTGTGGTTTGCTTGTTTTCTATGAATTTTATGGCTGACTTTTGGCAATAGGAGCTGTCAAAGTGTCACCAGGAGTTATGCCATTGTTCCATTATTGCTATGGATTTTTTCCTATGCAAGCTTGCAGGGTCTTATTCCTAATATATTGGGTCTCTACAGTGCCTTGGGATAAAGCTAAATGGTGATGCATAGTAGATATTTTATTATTAGAACAGACACTTTGATAAGTAGAGCTTTTTGTTTTACAGTTAAGAACTCCTTTAACTCTTCAGACTTGCTGCCTGTAAAACTGCTGGAGAGTAGATGTTAGAATTAAACACCTTAGATGAGTTGATTTAGCTTGATTTTTCTGGTGGAGCATTTTTTCATGAAAAGAATGTTCTGGAACTTAAATTTTCCTGTGCGTTTTTTGGTGAGGTGCAGAGAAAAAGGAGCGGTTAATTTTCTTGTCAGCCAGCATAACATTCAGAAAAGCTTTTGTTACTGAGCTCTGGAGCTAAGGTTTTTTTAATTCTTCATTTACAGTTCAACTTTGTTGGAAAGATTTTGGGACCTCAAGGCAATACCATCAAGAGGCTTCAGGAAGAAACTGGTGCTAAAATATCTGTCCTAGGAAAGGGTTCAATGCGAGATAAAGCAAAGGTAAGGGCATCACCCTTGAAAACATGCACACATTAATGCCTTTAATATGGCCGTGAGGCGGAGTGTATTTCAAAGCATTTCATAAAACATCAAGCCATTTAAATCCATAAGCAAAGGCAGTCAGAAGTCCCACGTTTAGGAAGTCATGTTTCCTAAAGTGTTCTGTGCTTATTGGAAGCAGTCTTGGATGGGGCAGAAGCATGAGATGTTTTCTTTATGAGCATGACTTTGAGTCCAGTCATCTTTTAATTCCCTGTGCCCTTGGATGCAGAGATAGTTTATTTGAAAGGTGAAGTACCAAGTTCATAAAACAAGAATTAATCCCAGCTACTCTGACAAGTCGTTCACAAAAGGAATATTTTTCACCTCCAGGAAATAAATAAAATCCTTTTTCCAGTGATTCCCTCTGAAATCCTGAAATTCCAGTGGTTCACTGAAGATGCTGGAGCAGAATGTTCCAGGGACTCTTTACTAGATCGCAAAGTGCCAAGAGGGTTTTTTTTTGACAGAAAGTGGAATTATATTTTTTCTTCCTTCTTATTCCTAAAACTGAGCCAAAGGAGGACAGAGCTGTAAATTAATTCAGCTTTTTACTTCAGTAGCACAAAAAGCTTTCCTACTTCTACCTTATTTGTAGCTTCTGCAAACCATCTGAATAACACAGATATCTGAGAGGCAAGTTAAAGAGCAAGCTTGTTTGTGTTGTTAGGTAATAAAGAGCACCTTGGGCAGAAAGGTGGTGTGGAAGAGGAATAGCACAGCTTGCCTAATCTGGGGGGAAAAAGAGGCCAGCATCACTCTATTAGCAAAACTATCAGTCACCTGCAAAGGCAGCTGCAAAGAGATTGGAGGTATAAATTGTGTGTGGCTTTTTATAGAACTCTATGCTCATATCCATCCTGTGTTACCATGATCTGTGTCCAGACATGACCAAAATGCCTTTACAGACATCTCCTGCTAAGGCTGAGAAGACAGGTAAAAGAAAAATAGTTTCTCTGTATCTTATTTAGCTTTAGGAATCCCTAATCTGCTTTGTTTCAGGAGGAAGAACTGCGTAAAGGGGGAGATCCTAAATATGCTCATCTAAACATGGATTTGCATGTCTTCATAGAGGTTTTTGGCCCCCCTTGTGAAGCGTATGCTCTGATGGCTCACGCCATGGAAGAAGTCAAGAAGTTCCTCGTTCCAGTATGTATCCTGGTGTTCTTTCCTTTTTGAAGGAGGTAGATGGGTTGTGATTCTGGCTATAAGGATGGGGTAAGGTCTGCACAGTGCAAGGCTCATGCTGCAGGAATTGGTGTCACTGAAGAACCCTGGAGTATTAAAGTGTGTGTGTGGCATTTGAAGATGACCCCATTAATCCTGCAGGGAGGCATGTATCATTCTTCTAACCATAATTATAAAGACATACGCTTACAGAGCAGTTGTTTAGAACACTTGGAGTATGTATTTCTCTCCCAGGACTAGCTGTGGACCTGGTGTGGGTGTCAGTTTTAGCAGGAGGATTAAGTTTAGCCATGCCTGGAGTCTTGACTGGCTTCCTCTGAATGGGGGCTGTAGTGGAGAAATCTGGCTAGAAAACTTCATTGGTCAAATGAGAAACTAGGTACAGAGGTGTTTGCTCTGCCCTGAAGGGGTGGTGAGAGGATGAGGAGGGTGATTGCCCAGGCAGCTGGGTATTAGTATTCAATGTTGTAGTTGTTTTGTGAGACAAAACTGTCAAATCAATATTTCTCCTGCTTTAAATGCAAGTGATACGAAGGAACCTCTAATTTTGCTACCCAGGCATTTATACAGATGACACTTGTCGGTTTGGGGATGTCTTTTACTGGTGAACCTTGTAAGACCTTCGTGGGCAGTTTTGTGCCAGTATGTAATGCAAAAGTGCTAGAATATTGCCTCCAAGAACTGCAGAGCTTGGAGGAGTCTTTCATGTATTAAAATGATAATGTCTCTCATTAAATTAGGGTAAAACACAATGGGGAAAGAAGCAGGTAGTACTCCCTTTGTTCATTATCCTTTGTGTCTGGCTTGCTCAGCCTGTAACTCAGACATGTAAGGGAATATAAGGGAATAGTTCTTCCTGAATGTAAGGGAAAAGTTCTTTCCTGTGAGGGTGCTGAGATGCTGGCACAGAGAAGCTGTGGCTGCCCCATCCCTGGCAGTGCTGAAGGCCAGGTTGGATACAAGGGCTTGGAGCAAGCTACTCCAGTGGAAGGGGTCCCTGCCTGTGGCAGGGGTTGGAACTGGATGAGCGTTAAGGTCCATTCGAACACAAACCAGTCTGGGATTCTGGGATCCTATGAATGTCAGGCCCTGGTGCTGCTCTGTAGCTGTGGTTGGAGAGTTCAGAAGTGCTTCCTGAAACACCAGGGGCAGGTGGAACCCAAGAACTGTGGGTAGTAGGGAAGAACGAACAAAAAGTTTGTGGGTACTGTGTGATTTTTGTGAGTGACACGGAAAGGAGAGAGATGGCTATGTGAAGTGTCTTTGAAGGAAAGAGGTCATCTTCAAGGAGCCCCTGGGATGTACAAAACCTCACAGCAAGCGTGCTTCTTGCTATTTAAAATGTCTTAAGTACTGCTGCCTTCACACAGTGTGTGAAACTTGTGAGAATTGACAGAGAAGTCATTATGGAAGCCAGCACTGCTGTGAAGACACATCTGGTAGGAGACTTCTTGCTCTGTGGTGTTGCCATGGCACTGTGAAGATCCCTGGTGCAAGGCTCAGCTTGCCTGTGTGTTGAGGAGAGATGTGGCGTACAATGACTTCTGCAGGGTCGTCAGGCATCTATCTGTGCTAATTCCAGGAGCTACATCCCCCAGGGTGATAAAATGCACAGAGCCAGAAACATGCTGCATTCCTAAGAATTTAAAAAGACAGCCTGGATTTGTACATGGGTGTTTGCTCTTTGTCAGGCTGTCTTACGCAGTTCCTTTAGTGTGTCAGGATTGCAGCAAGGTGTTGTTGCCTCACATGGGCTTGTTGCCAGTCACTCCTTAAATGTAAGGTGCTTGAGGTGAGGTATGTCTTGCATGACTTTACCTCTGAACTCCCCGATGCTTGCAAATAAATCTTGCTGACATCCCTGGGATGCTGAACACCACATAGCTCCCAAACAGCTGTGAGAGGCCCTCTTTCCTGGGAGCAGTGGTTGGGCTCACCACAGCTCCTCAGTCTGTGCAGGTCATGTGCCCTTCCTGGCCAGTTTGGAGAAAGTTGTAGTTGTGCACTGCTGATCACATCCCAGTAAAACTAACCCATGGATTTTCATTTAGGACTATGAGGTTGGTTTATTCCAGTGTGGTAGCCTGTGGTATCCTGGAGCGCAGACTGGCTAGTTAACTGTTCTCTGGAGTTCACTCTTTCCCCTTTTTAGGATATGATGGATGATATCTGTCAGGAGCAATTCTTGGAGCTCTCCTATCTGAACGGCGTACCGGACCCAGCCCGAGGCCGGGGAGTCCCTGTGAGGGGAAGGGGAACAGCCCCACCACCGCCTCCACCTGTCCCAAGGTATCTTTCCCAAAGCACAAGACGTGGAAATGCTGCATCTTGCTCAAGAGTTGTCCTGCCAGATGAGGTTAATGCACATCAGCTATTAGCTTGACCTTGGCTTTTCCAAGGCTTTCTGACGTTGTATTGCAGGCTTGCTTTTGGCAAGTTGGCATTAAATGCTTTGTGGTTTGAGATGTGATCAAGCACAGTGGGTATCTTCTATATTATTTTTGATATCTGAAATCAGTAGCATCATAAAGTAACCTTTCAAAACCAGGTGTACAAAATCATGTATAGATAGATGTTGTGTTTGCTTCTGTAGCCTTCAGCAGAATAAGCATTTTCAGTTTAAACTGGCCATCTTTTGACAGTTACAGCATTACTCTGTCATTGCTGTCAAGGCATGGGGATAAATCAGTGAGAAAACTGTTACTAGGTTCCTTGCTCCACTACCTGTTTCATGAAGGGGAAGTCTTTGCTTCTGAGTGTTTAGCCCAGAAGTGCCCCTGCTCATCTCATCATTGATCTGTAACTTCTGGAGGTCTGGCAGTCATTGCAGGTTAATGGCAGAGGGTTGTTTAAAATGAGCTCTGAGAAATTACTTGCCCAAAGCTCTGTAGCAGATTTATTTCACTGTCCGTACCACATCTAATACAGTAGAGTTCCCATCCCAGAAGTTTTTGTAAATCCGGCAGTAACATAACAATTTTTGTGCTAAAGAAGTCATAGTTTGGTTAATGGTAACTCCATTTATTTGTTTATCAAGCTATTGCATTTTAAAGTAGGTCTAAGAAGCACATGTGCTGCCCTCAGCATTCAGCACTTGAGCTGTACCTCTTCACAATCCTTCTCATCTCCTTCCCAGGGGACGCGGGGTTGGTGTCCCCCCCCTGCCTCCTCCTCCTCGGGGGGCCCTCGTGCGAGGAGCCCCAGTGCGAGGTGCCATTGCCCGGGGAGCTGCTGTAGCCCGCGGGGTGCCTCCCCCCCCAGCAGTACGGGGGGCTCCTGCACCCAGAGCACGAGCAGCCGGCATTCAGAGAATACCGCTTCCTCCTCCTCCTCCCGCACCAGAAGCCTATGAGGAATATGTGAGTAACTCTATATCTTTGGTTTAATTCCAGCTTAGCTGACCACGTATCAGATGCTCCACATTACTGAAATAAGGGCTAAGATTGCTCTGGAGACATGACCAGCAGCACAAATGTTGGTATGGGGCTGGGTGACCTGCTCTGTGTCTTACTCCTCAAAGGAGGGAGCTGCTCCTGTCCAAAATACAGGGCAAGGCGTGGTTTTGGTAAAACAGAAATGCTCCCCTAAGGCTTAAGCTGGCCAACTATTACTGCATGGTACAAAAACTACATCACAAAGATTGATGTAGTTCACATTCTGCAAGGGAATTCTTTAAGGAAGAAACACCAAAGATTTCCTGCTTCCCCTAAAATCCTGAGAGTAAATATGTGAATGAGTATGGTGATGTTTCATGCAATGTAACAAAGCACCACCCTCCCTCCAAGCTTCTCTTGGCATATGTGCTCTTGATATTCTAAAGGGAAAAAAAGGTTTTGATGCACAATAGCATTTTTGGGAATCATCACAAATATTCATGCATCTAAAAAGTCTGTTTATCCTCTCAGTTGAACTTAATTTTTGCACTGAAACCAATCAGAAGTTATTAGGTTGTGTTTGTCTACCTGTAAATCTGTGGTTTTGACAGCACAATTACAGGCTTCTTGGCATGAGGATTTGTAGCACAGACAAACTGCAACCTTGGACGTGTAAATGACTTTCAAATGCATTGTAAATATTAGTGTGGTTTGTTCCTCTGAAGCCAGAGGACACAAGCAGATCTCAGCTACCTGTCTTATGGCTGAGCCCCTTCCCTGCAGCAGGCAAGGATTCACAGGTTCCCCTGGAAGCTGAATTCAGTTTTGCCATTACTCTTGGTCAGGCATTAACCATCCAGTCCTTCCATTAACACTGTTTTACATCATCATCCATTTCAGGGCTATGATGATGCGTATGCAGACCAGAGCTATGAGGGGTATGAAGGCTACTACGGCCAGGGCCAAGGGTAAGTCTGCTTGTCTCCTGTTATTGAGCAAGTTATACATGGTCCTCTCTTTCTCTTTCTTTTAAGGGAATGGAAACACTCAGTTCAGAATTTGAGCTGTAGGGAAAGTGCCCTATTCTGCTGAAACCCAGGAGAGCCTGGGTAATAATTCTGGGGAGCGTCCCAGTGTCCTTGATAATTCCATAAAAGCAGCGATGAGACTCGCCAGAGCCATGAGTGACATTGGGCATCTTTTGCTTTTCAGGTGTTTGTGCAAGTTGTGTCAGTTTGATTTCAGCACTGTATGTAACCAAGACAATTACTCTTCCAGGGACACAGAATACTATGATTATGGACACGGGGAGGCACAGGAAACCTATGAAGCTTATGGTATGTCTGGGAATACTGTTCTCCTGACAGGGAAGGGGCTGCACATAGTTGGAAATCGCCTGCAGCAGTTGCACACAGTTGGGAATTGCTTGTGGTCAGCCAGCTGTTTTCTAGTGCCATTCCATTCTCTAAGCAAAAACTTACTGAGAACCTCGAGTAGTTTTCATGGTAGGGTATTTATGCCCTACGGATTATTCAGGTCTGAACAGCCAAAGGCATCCTGTGGATTTTAGATTCTTATCTAAGTGGGTTGTCTCAAAGATGATGCTTTCAAAATTCTGTTTTTTTAACTATGGAAATATTTTTTAATTTCCTTATAGCTTTAGAATATTTTAAGAGCTCTGGATTTCCACCCACAGCACTACTTTTGCTGCAGTCTGGTTTTCACAGATTGTATTTTGTTGAGTTGGATGAGTGCATGGTTGCATCTGCTTCCTTATCCTCAAAAACCTGCTGGCTGATACTGACTTTGCATATACATTTGATTGAAAAATGGATTTAAATGTCATCTGAAGGCCTTCTTTTGAGTAGGTGAAACAGTTTTGGTCAATATGACTTTTAAGTAGTCTATGAAGTTTTAGCTAATTACATAAAACTGTCAACTTAGGCTAGACTGAGGGGTGGGGGAGAGCAGTTTAACCACAGCTGTACATCACCAGCTGTCAAAAACAATAAGCCTTATATTTGAGGTGCTGGCAATAAAGGACTGGGTGACAACTGCATTTTTTTTTTTAAGCTAGTTCATATATCCAAGCTTATGAATGGCGTCTGCATGTGGCAGTGAGTAAGATTCGTTTTCCTCTCTCTGTAAACAAGCTATAAACAAGTTATGAAAGCCACATAGCGTGCTGCTTAATGGCATGGAAATAGGCTGTATTGTAAACAGCAGAGCATCAGCCTGAAGGCTTCAGTGAATGCAGGTAGTGAGGGTAATGACCAGCTGGAGGGGATTTCTGGGGTCCTTGGGACCTGGGAATCCCAGTCATGTATTAGGGAAGCAGAGTTAATGATGTGGCTGGTTCCTGCCCCAGGGCATTCCTTGCTCTGGACTTAAACTGTGTGAAGTTCAAATTCAGGTGCCTTTCAGGGATGTGTTTCCAGTCTTTGCCAGTCTGAGATGCATTTCAGTAGACAGCTGCTGTCAGGAGCTCCTGTCTTTCCTGCCTTCAGTGGCTTGGTTTGTTGCCTGTGTTTAGTCACACAGTACAAAGAGGCTTTTGTGCCTCCTACTTGGTAGGAGAGTGGTGGTGCTGGCTGGGATATGATGGCCAAAATGCTCACTGTACACTTGGTGTCAGGTTGCCACAGCTAATCTGTTTATCCACAGTAATTTCCTTTGGTCTCTGCTTTCATAAAAATAGAATTAGAGAAATAAATTGTTGAGCTAGGCTGGAGAGTTCTGAGAAAATGGGAACATGCTCTGAGGTGGTAGGAACCAGCTTGGCTGGCCTCAGGCTTCATACACTTGATTTCATAAACCAGTGACCCTGGAGAGAATGGCAGGCATGCAAGTGTGAATGTTGCAAGCACAAGCCATAATGAAAGCTGAGCTTTGATATCTGAGGCTTGAGTGAGCTCAGAGACAATGGGGTGTGAATTTTACTTGCTTGAGCTGTGTGCAGCAGGAGGGTTGGGGCTGTCCTGGTGAGCGCTTTGCTCATCAGCAGTTAACACTGGTACAGTGAACAGATGCTTTCCAGTATTTGTGGAGGGGAAGGAACAGCATGCCACAGTCAGAAAGCAGACTGGTATCTGGAAGTTGTCCTATGCTACAGCAGCATAGGGACTTAATTATTTTGGCATAGTTATCCAGGACCTGTCTTACCTGGTGGCTGGGAAGGAGGGCAGTGCTACCTGTAGCCGTCCCCCCAGCGAGACAGCAGGTTAGAGATGCTGCTGGCCACCAGCCTGAGGGGCTGTGGCTGTTGCCACCTTTGCCACAGCCAGCTGCCAGCGCTGCCCTGTGAACTGGCTTTGGCTCTGCTGGAGTTAATGACCTCTAAAAGGCACTGGGTTTGTCCAACTTGGTGCTGAGCCAGGCTGTCGGGGCTGCAGGCTTCCCAGGATCCCACACAAATGCCTTTTTTTCCCAGTGTCAGAAGGAATGTGGTTTAGTGATGGACTTGGCAGTGCTGGTTTAGTGGTTGGACTCAATCTTACAGGTACTTTCCAACCTGAATGATTTTTTGTGCTGCGAATGAGAGGTTTTGGTGGACCCACGGGGTACTTCACAGACCAATTTTGTGGTGAAACCACCCTAAAGATGCCCCATGCTGCTGCATCGACTCTGGAGGGAAGCCCATCCATCCAGGACCACAGCTCCCTCCATGCCCTTGACTCACAGCACTCCACCATCCTTGACATATCCCTCTCTTTTCTACAGGGCAAGATGACTGGAATGGAACAAGGCCCTCCCTGAAGGCCCCGCCGGCCAGGCCAGTGAAGGGGGCCTACAGAGAGCACCCATACGGACGTTATTAAAAAACAAACATGAGGGAAAAATATCAGTTATGAGCAAACAGTTGTTACTGATTCTTGTATCTCCCAGGATTCCCGTTGCTTTACCCACACCAGACAAGTAATTGTCTAACTGTTTTTCTTCGTGGCCCTTTTTCTCCCACTCCATCCTCACCCTGCATTCTGGCTTCTGTACGTAGTATTTTAAAATGAGTTAAATAGATTTAGAGGAGCGACTTTCAGTTCTTTTTGTTTTGTCCTTTTTTAAGTGTGTAGGTGGCTTTTCTTTCTTTGTCATTTAGCTAAGACACAAACTGTACCTTTTTTTTAAGAAAAAGAAAAAAGTTGAGTTAAAAATGTTAGTTTCAGAAGTGACATGCTTTGCTTAGCAGTTATGAAATTAAGGTTTTGTTAACCTCTTCACTTTGGTTTTAAGGAACCCATAAAAGTTGTAGTTGCAGAATCCCAAAGTAGGCTACATTTCAAAATTCAGGGCTGTTCTTAAGAACTAATAGCATAATGTAACGGTAGTAGCTGCCGCCGTTTAAAAGTAACCTCAGATGTCAGACTTTCCTTAAAAGCAGATTGCTGGTGAATCCTAAGTTTAAATTTTAATATGAAGGATCCTCAAACAAATTAAATAGTTGGGGGGGTATTATTAATTTATTTTAAGGTAATTGACTTAAATGAAAAAAAAAAAAACAAAACCAAAAACAACCAAATTAGGTTTATAAAATTGATTTTTCTTATGTGGGTTTTGAAATCTAGCCCCGAACATGCGGTGTTGAGAGATGCTTGGGAAGCAGATTTTCCAGTGTAAAGGGGTTCTTAGTTTGGTTCTGTATGAAGAACTTGGAAGGGAAAATCAAATCAAAGCATGGATCTAATTGCCCAGTGTTTGATTAGAAAGCAGAGTAAAATTGCCGTTTTAGTCCTCTAGTTCTTGGGGCAGATAAATCAGCTCTAGTTTAAAACCAACATAAGCGTTGATGTTAGCGATCCATTGCCTTGTTCAAGTGTATCTCAACACTAGCTTTGCATAAAAAGGGACACTGCAGCTGAAAAAAAAAAGAGGAAAAACTTCACTTTGTACATAGGATAAAGTCCTAATTGGATTTGTACATTGTCCTCCCACTCTGTTCCTGAAGATTAAATGCTACATGTGTAAGTCTGCCTAACTAGGTAGCTAAAACTTGTCAAAATGTCTGCCTCAGTTTGTCAATAAAGTTTAGTCCTTTTTTAATCAAAGTAAATGTGATGAATTGTCATTTTTTGGTTGAGAGCTAAAATAGCTATTTATATTTTTTTCATTCAAATAAATTTAAATTAACGCTAAAGATAATTGTCTTTTTAAAACCTGGAGACATTCTAAACCATGGTCGTTTGTGTAATCCTCACAAAAAAAACTCACCAAGCTCATTGAGCTTCAGTTAAAAAGGAGAGGAAAAAAAAAAAGGGCAAAAGAAAAGCAAATTTGTTTTTCACCCCCTGGAAGTTGTTGCAGTCAGTTTGATCCTGGGCTATGGCAGGAATCTGTCCTTAGGAAAGTGGTCATGGTTCTTTGCTGAATTACCAGTTCAGATTTCAGCCTCACCAGGCTATTCCATGCTGCAGACTCCAGATTGAGTCTGAAATGGCTGGTTTAAACGTAGCGTGACAAAATGAGCGCTGAAAATTCCAAGGCTCAGCTGCCACCAGGAGGAGAAGGAAGGTTGCTTTCTGCTTCATGTTAACGCCCCTACCCCCCTTGGCTAAGCCCTTCCGACTTTCAGTAGCCTTTCTTTGGAAAGCCACATAAAAACGTAATTTTTTTCTTTGAGAAGGTGCTCCAGTTGCTCCTTATATCCTTCTGCAAGGGTGTGTCTGTCTAGAGATAGAATAGAATAGCTTAAACTGCTGCTTAGACATGAAAAAGGGTTTGTATTTCCCATCTGCAAAATGAATCTGGCATTCCAGGGGGAGAGAATTAAACTGCTCGGGGGTGAAAAATAGAGCATTAGGAACCAAACTGCCTGTAGTAGTGCATGATTGAGGGGAATACTTTAAAACAAAAAGTTGTATTTGTAGATTGTTATTAAAGTGTAAATAACGGCATTTTCAACACTGGTTTGGAGTCAGCTTTCAGGGCATAATGTCTTGCTTGATGAAAAGATCACCCTATGCCCCCCTTTTAAAGGAAAATTATCGCAGGAGAATCAGGATGTGTAAAGCTAACATGCATCGCAAAGCCCAAAAGGTAACCTAAATGTCTGATTTTAATAGCACATTTCTCTTTTACATAAACTGCGACGGCAACTTGCATAAACTTTATTGAACCAATTCTTCAGATGTTAATTTTAGTGTAAAAAAAAAATGGCAAAAAATTGTTTAAAATAAACATTAAAAACACCCAAACCACATGCTTCTGCATAAATCAGCAATAACTTTAATAACGTGCCCTTTGAAACTGTAACGTAACGTGGGCAAAAAGGAATCGGCAAGCTTAAATCTCAAGAGATGTAAAATGACAGTGAATATAGATAGTCCTGCTACTGCCAACAACAAAATTCTGCTCAGTTACTTAAACATGTAAAATGATGGCCCTTTTTAGACCCCGATATTGCTATTTACTGCAAAATGCCCAAAGCTCAGCTTAAGTTGCATGTTTTCCTTCCTGTGTAATTGCATGCAGGAATCTCTCTGGGCTTTTTTTTCTTTTGACTTGTGCTTGCCTTTGGGACACTCACAAATGTCTTCAATTTACAGGAGTCAAGAGTGCATCGTGCCGAATCACTTGGGTGAGGATGAGCAGGGGCACCATGAAGTGGGTGAGTTTATTTATTTTTGCAACCCATTGCAAGCTGCTAATGTGTTCTGTGTGGGAACGGGGGGGGGGGCACCATCTGAGCTGTGAAATCAAAGCCATTCTTGCTATATGCATAAATAAATGACTGGAAGGCTGGTTACATGACTGACACTCTTGCAGAGGTCACAGTGTGGAGGAAGCTTCGGTACATACCTGTGTAACGCTCTGCCACTGAGATCCCGGAGAGAAGGAGGTTTAGGTGGGTTTGAGGAGATGGAAATGTGGGGAGATTTGTGTCTTGGAGCCAGTTCCTAATTGAGATACCTCCAGGAGGGTGCTGTCAGCAGCAGGTGCTGTTGAAACTGTTATCCAATGCTCTAGAAACAGAGCAGCCTGATAGGAATTCCTGTGTGAGTCCATAATATATTAAAATTGCAAACTGCAGGGTTTCGATCAGATCCTGCCCAGCTAGATCTTGCTAGTTCTACCCTATCCATGTCTCCATCAGTTCTGGAATGGGATCTGGCTACTGGCTTTTGTCCAGTGTCATTGCCAGAGATGATTCTGTCAGTAGTCCTGCCAGACTGAGCGGGATGCGTTTAGCTCAGAGCCCTGCAGGGCTGCACGCCTGTTGTCAGTGGGTAACATCCTGAGCCCTCAGGAGGAATGCTGGACCCCCAGCACCTTTGGGTGCTGGTGCTGGAGAGCAGTCACAGCAGTGGGACTCCCTCTGTCGGCTGCTCTGGCCTCACTGATGTGCTAATCTCCAATAAATACCTTAATAAATGCACACAAGTGCTCACAAACCAAGTGGCACCTTGCACCTTGCACCATGCACCAGTGGAGTGACCTGCACACACAGCAAGGACACATCTCCCCAGGGCCCAAAGGCAGGAGCTGGAAGCATTTCCTTTAGGGACAGCTCATTGCTTTCTGTCCAAGCTTGAGATCCATAAATAAAAGAACAAAGAGTCAGGTCCTTGCCACGCTGAAGAAGTCGAATGGCTTCAAAAGACAACTGTGAAAAGCCTTGGGCATAGGACAGAGAAGGACGTAAGTCTTATATGGAAATTTAAAGCTATCAAACGAGCTTCTCTTATCTTAGGAACATGAGGAAAGAGGATAGCAGAGGATAGTGGAAATGCAAGAGTGAAATTACCCTTAATTTTTCAACTCAAAAATTGGATCCATAGTTTTCTGATAGGGAAAATTACAACATGTCTGGATTTGTGGCCTGTTTATTGAATGCATCTTCATTTACAATGTAATTGGAACATCAATTTATATGGTGGTGTACCAATCTTTCCCATTTCTTTCTTAATAGGCACAGCTTTTATATCAAGTGGAAAAGATTTGATAGAGATCATCTATTACGATGCAGTTTTTTACCAATAGAAGTGGATCTTGTGACACTGCTTTTGGAGTAACACAGCTGGGTTGTGCATTGCGTTTGTTGCATGTTTATGTGGAAGACTTTCATGCTATGGAGGAACATAAATCTTAATCTACTGAAATAACTCTATATGGGAAAAGTATTTTGAAAACATGCCCTGCATTAGACATCTTCCTCCCTCTCATAGCATTCCTGCATTTAGATTTTAGCCTGGAGTCTGCAGATGATAATTTGATCATTGAGGTCCCAAAATAGCCATTGGCACTGGATGTATCTCTTGGAGGTAATCCAATTAGCCAGGCATTCCAGGGGTGATCCAGGACTGAAATTAGTCAGAGGTACAGATTCCTTTGACTGCTGAAGGCTGAGTCACTTAAATAACCTTCCCTTTTCTACTGTCACGTACCTAGTGGAGGAGGTAATCTGGCTCTGAGCTCACGAGCACCAGTGATCTTTCATTTCCTGCTTTCCCCAAAGGGCTAATCCATATCTTATTATTTGTAGTATTTTGGTAAAGACCATAAACAAGATAAAGGCCCCCACTGTACTTGGTGCTGTGGGGTGTGATGTACAGTAATGGTCACCTCTCCTCTCTGGAAGGGTTTCCCAACAGTTCAGTTGTTTCCAAGAGACGCAGCTCTGGAAACACTCTCTTGCAGTGAGTGCTCTGTGCCTCCACAGTCCCATCTCCTCTGGTCCATGCTTCCAGCTCTTTGGTATAAATACTCGGGCTGGCCTTGCTTGGAGCTGCCGCAGACTTGGACTTGACTCTTGCTTGGTGATATCTCACCATGCACAGTGCTTCATAGTCAGTATGTTGGGCAGCAACAGGAGTGGGAACCAGAGCTTGCAGGGAAAAACACTCCAACTGGTATTAGAGGTATCCCCCAGTGTCTTTTCCTGCATGGAGGCTGTCATTCCCTGCCTGTTCCTTATGCCTGGTTTCAAGTTGCTGTTTGGATTATTAAATAAAGCAAATGGCTATGAGCTTTATTTTATAACTTCGGGTATTTTAATGTTTAACTTAAACCACTGTTCTTTCAGTAAGGCTAAGGCATTATCTTGACACGGCCCTCTCAAACTCTCTGTTTGGTAGATCAGGATTGAGAGCATAGCTGGATTCCCCACCTGGCTGTTGAAGCAGATGAGTCCTTTAGTACAGAAAGAAGGTTTAAATTTGTACAAGAGCATCTGTCATGAGCAGAGCCAAGAGAAAGAGCTCAGATGTGTGCATCTTCCTTCCCTCACCCCATGCCAGTGCTCTCCTCCAGAACACCGGGGCTGAGGGTGATTCCTGCAGCCAGTGATCAACCTTCCGAGCAGCCCTGGAGAAGGAGGGTTACAAGGAACAAGTACATATGGTGGTGTTGGGGACGAAGATGTGGCTTAGGGAAATACTTTAATTGATAAGCCTCTACCATCTTGGATGAGATGTTGGACACATGCCCCCTTTGTAAGCTTTGAGGGGGAGGAACCCCTGCAGGTTGCGCTGGGCCCGTGGGAGCTTCCATCTCTGATGTAGATGTTACTCCTTTCTACTCAGGAAATTCAGTTCCTGTGAGCACAGAGCAGAAACCTTCGCTGTTACTGCTCAGTTGAGGCTTCTATTGCTACCATATGTTCTACTGGAAGTGTTTGTCTCTGTGTTCATTTTGCTCCTTTTGCAAAGTGGGATGAATCTCCTGATGAGATGATTACAGATCTGATAAAGGAAGGTTAAGACGCTGTTTGCTCTGCTGTGGCTGGGAAATAGGAACCTGCCTGCTCTTGGTGAGTGTTGGAGAACACCAGAGTGTTGGAGAGCGCCTTGGCAGCTGCAGATGCTGGAGAAGCACCAGTGTGCAGGAGTAGTGACACAGAAAGTGTTTTGCAGCAAAGCTACTACTTTACTGCTGGCTTCAGAACCAAATAACTGCAACCGACAGCTCATATGCAGTGTTACAGATGCAGACCTGGCATCAGTACAGGTTTGCCTTTGTACAGTTATCAGTACTGTTGCCTTTAGAGTTGTTCCTGGAGGACTTTTAAAGCCTCACGTGTCTGGATACTCTGTTTTTTTGATGGCTTTGCATGATAAGAGGTTTCAAAACCAGTAAGAAATGAAAGATTGTCCTGATGAAAGGCCTTGTAACTGCAGAGATGGACAGGGCTTGGAGCAAGCTGCTCTAATGGAAGGTGTCCCTAGGGGGTTGAAGCTGAATGAGTTTTAAGGTCTCTTCCAACCCAAACCATTCCATGATTCTATGAAAGGGCAAGAATTGCGGAGATGTCCCCATGAAAGCTCATTAATCGGTAGAGGTGGCCCTGTGAAAGTTCATTAATTGCCTCCAGCCCAGACACGGGTGATTCTCAGGGTTGTATAATGCTCCATCTGCACTCAAGCGTCAAAACACCCACGACTTAAGGAAATCAGTGGAAAATACCACACGTGGCTGGTGGAGATGGTGAAAGCTGATCAAGGTGAATCACAGCATTAAAATAACTCGCAGGGGAGATGGCTGGCAGTGGGGAGCTGGGGCAGATGTTGGAAGTGATTAGTCATCCCCTCAATAAAGGCCTAATGAGGTTTATTGCCCGGAGGTCTCTCTCTTGTGTCTCTTCCCACCGCGGAGCTGTCGTTCCCGTTCCCTCCGTGGGGATGGAGTCGTGGGGGGGGGTCCCAAATACCCCCCAGGGGTGTGCCCGGAGGGCGGGGTTTGGGGCGGGGGCGTGGCCATGCGGGCGCGCACGCAGGAAGCTTGTCCGCTGCCGGCCGCCATCGCCCCGCCCGCCATATTGTGCCCGGCGCAGGCTGAGCGCGGCCGGAGATGGGTGAGGGGGCCGAGCGGCGGCGGGAGCGGGACCGGCACCGGGGCGCGAACGGGGGAGGATGGGGGTGAACCGGGAGCTGGGGGAAGGGCCGGACTGCCCGCGGGCCGCTGCAGAGCCCGCAGTTCGCCCCGCCCCGCTGCCGCTGCGAGGGGGGCGGCTCCCGGGCCGCGGCCTGGTCCGGAGTCAGCGGCGCTGCCTCGGAGCCGTGCTCATCCCTGCAGCCCAGGTGCGTGCTCCTGCAGCTCCCCTGGAGGCCCCCTTCCGGAGCCGCGAGTGCTGCTCTGCAGGTTTATCGTACCCCGGTGCTCCCCCGTGGGCCGTGCTGTGAGCCTGTAGCTCCCACTGCAGCCCTGCCTGCTTCCCGAGGCCCTTGTAGTCCCCACTGCGCTCTCATCGCCCCTACTACTCCCCGTGTGCTCCTGGCTGCTCTCCTGTGGTCCCTACTTGTGCCCCCAGATTTCCCCTTTCTCCCTTGCAGCCTCTGCCTGCATCCCTGGAGTGTTTGTGGCTCCTGCCTGCACTCCTCTAGACGTTACAGCCCCTGTCCTCTGCCCTCACAGCCACCACTGCCCCGTCAGAGCCCACACTGAGCTCCTGATCTGCTCTCCTGCACCTCCCAAGTGTTTCTCCCAGCTCTGTACCCAGGCCCAGCACTTTCATCCTACAGCCTTCCCCTCTCAGACTCTCTTATCGTGGTGTTGTGGGTGTTGAACCCACTGGTCTGAGGTCCTGTGCATCTAGTGCCCCCCACACAGCCTGTGTGTTGTATCCCTGTGCATAGCCCCTCCTGTTCACCAGCATCCCCAGCTCACAAGGACTCTGTGTGCCATGGCACATACTGAGGTTTCTGCACTTTACTCTCTACTCCCAGCCCTGCAGCCCCCTCTGTGCCCTGTGAGGACGCCCACCTTGGGGTGTCTTTGCTTCACTCAGGTCTAGCTCCAGGCACAACTCATTTGTGCTGTGTCCCTCATTGTCCACTATAGTGCATCAGTTGCTGGAGGACTGCAGCTCAGCCTAAGCTTTAGACCTTGTTTAAGAGCAGTCTCTAATCCTTCAGCAGTTATGTTTTTCCTTTTCCCAGATGCTTAGTGATGCAAACTGGAAATCAGCAGTCAGAAAAAGAAAGGTTGAGCAATTGATATGGCCTGATCAGGGTTTCTTCACAGCCAGATTTCACTTCTGGTAGCTCTCATGTGTTATCACTGGCCTTTTGCTATGGTGTGTAGATCTTCTAAGGTTAAACAGGATCTAGAGGGAGGGCCGTGTTATGGTTTACACTGACAAGAAAGCACTAGAAAAGCTAACTTTGGACTAACGTCTTGTTGAGCTCTGTGCCATCCAAACATACAACAACAACGTAAAACTCTAAAAATGCTAGTTATTTTTTCCCCTCTTAAAGGAGCAAAGAAAAAAGAAGCCCCTTTGTGTGCTGTTCTGGTGTTCCTTTAAAAGACTTGTGAATTTTTTGATTCCAGAACAAAATTTGGCAAAAAGGGGACCTAGGTAATACCCCCAGTTTACTCAATCCTTTAGGCAAATTATTTAGCATCTCCATAAGTGTATTCGCTCTGCCTGTAAAACAGGGATAACACCACAGCCATGCAGATCAAGTTCCTTGTAAACTGCTTTGAGTTGGGAGAGAGGCATGAAAAGCTGCTTCCTGCTCCCCTGGGAGCCTGCATACACTAGGCTTTAGACTCTGAATTCCCAGCACCTTGACAAGCTGCTGCATGTCCAGGAGTCAGGAGCTATCTGGGGCTGCATCTATAGCCTGTGGCAAATACAAGAGGTGTAGAAAGGGGCTGAGCAAAGTGATCCTGCTTTTTCCCACAAGGCAGCAGTGTGAGCAGTGGGTTACGGCTGACACTGGGGGGGCGGGAAGCAGGTGAGCCTTAAATGATAAACCTTTTCCGTTCAGTTCTAAGGCCTGCAGACCTCACCAGGCAGTGAAGAGCAGAGAAGGCACCTGGCAGAAGAGCCCTGTGCTCCCTCTGTTATTATGGCAGGGGGACGACGGGGCCCCAACCGCACGTCCTACTGCCGGAATCCCCTCTGCGATCCCGGTGCCACTGGCGGCTCCGGCCACGCCACGAGTTCCTCTGTCACGGGCGTGCGTTCCCGCACCAGGTACATCCAGCTCACATATCCTCACACCAGCTGCTCCTCAGCAAGCTGTGAGACCACCTCTGTGTCCCCATCTCACACACTGCTGCATCTCCTGGGGCTCAGCATCTGTTGCCTCCCAGTGTCTAGCTGGGATCCTCTTTCTCCAGTATGTCCATGCTATGTGTTCTGACTGGGGTAACGTGAGTTCTGATTTCCCTGAGCGCTTTATCAGAGTGTGACATGCTGCCAGGAGACAAATCTTTCTCCAAAGCCTTACTCTGGAGTTCACTTGAGACCTGAAGTTAACATCAGTCTAGGGTAGAATTTAGCCAGGTCAGGTGATGTGTAGTCTGTGTTTGGGGTTTTTTGCAGGTTATAACCTAGCTGGTTCATTGCATTTCTGCGACTGGAGAGGAGGAAGGAGAAGCAAAGCACCAACAGCAGTGCATAAGCAGCAGGTGCCTTTTTGTGAACTCTCTGTGAAGAAAATGTGAGATCTGTCTTAACATGCTCCCTGCTTACGGCCCCAGGCCAAGAAATTTATAGGGATACAGTTATTCAAAAAAGCTATTGCAAGGCCACAGAAGGTGGAGCAATCCACCTTGTACTTACTTTGCTGTGAGAGCACACACAGAGATCCTTGTCACGAGTAGGTGATGTGGTACAAACCCACGCCCCAGTGTACCTCCAAGGATTCACCTCTGATACCGTATCAGAGGGTACCCGTACCCTCTGTGGTAGCCTCCATCACCTACGTGGCAGTCCAGGCTGAGAAGTCCCAAAGTGTTTTATATGTGTGTGAGACCTTTGTTGCTGCTTTTGCAAGAGCACCCTTGGGTCTCGTGTCTGTTTCAAGCAGAAAAGGCTTTGTGTTTCTATTTAAAGCTCTTTTCTGGAGAACGGGAATTCATGTTCGTGTACAGGAACAGAGTTTATTGGTGGATTTATCAGTCCTGAGGAGCTGAATCAGTCTGGTCAGCTTGGGAACGTGGGGATTTCAGAGAGGCAGCTCAGGTTCCTAGAGGTTTCCCTTCATGCACGGCCTTATTTTAGGCCATCAGGAGTGATGCACCGTGTCCAC